CTAATGAGTGGAAGGGCTAGGATTAGAAGCCCAGATCCTGTTAATTCTAAAACCTGGACTGTTTTATATTGCTCACCGCTTCTAAGAAGCCAAACATTTATTTTCAATTCAACCAGCATATATTTTATAATTAGGCCCTTCTGTGGGTCTAGCATGAAGAGGAAAGTATGTAATAGCTTCATCCATTCGTGTGTGTGTGTGTGTGTGTGTGTGTGTGTGTGTGTGTGTGTGCTGCTATGCACCTGGCACTCACTCCAACAGACAGACGCTGGACTCATCACAATGACCTAGTGGCTGCCCTCCAGGAATTTAGAGTCTAGTGGGGATGTTCTGCTAATTTTTAAATTAACATGTCATAGAGTATATTAGTCAAGGTCCAGTTATTTTCACAGAGAGAATTTAGTATACAGAAATGCAAGCTGGGTTCAAGTTGTTGACTCAGTAACTGAAACATCAAGAAGAAAACAGATATCATGGAGGGAGCATCTGCAGGAAGCTGCCCTACTCCCGGGGGCGGGGGGGATGGGGGGGCAAAGGGAAGAGGATGGAATCATTAAAAGTAAACACTTGGAGGAGGGCCCTTGGGCCTGGGACCCAACTCCTGGGTAAGGGGTGCCAGCGCCTGTGAGGCCAATACTGGGAAAACTGCAAACTGGATCCAGTGTCGCTACAGGAAGAAAATTCTACTGAGACAGGAGTATTGCTGGGTGATGCTCTCAGGAAGAGGACACAGGTCCTCAGGAAGCAAACAGAAAGGAGCAAGTCCACCACTCCCACCCCACTCCGTACCCGCCAGCTGATGGCTGAATGAATACATGATCTATCTCTCCCCCCAACCCCACCCCATTCCACCCCCGCCTCTTGAGCACATGCACAGATCCTAACATGAGGCCAGTGGGCAAAGCAAAAAAATGTGATTTGCAGAATTCCAGCTCCAGCTCCAAAACAAGTGTAGAAAGGCAGGGTTGCAGCTGAGAGACAGTAGCTTAACAACTGGCACACAACGCAGGAAAGACTCTGGGCTGGAAATCAAGGTTCCTGAATCCTTATTCTGCCTCTTCCACTAACTTGCTATGTGGCTTGAAGTAAGGCTCTTTACCTCTCTAAGACTCCGTTTCTTCTGCCACAGAATGCAAGGGGCGCTCTAAACTCCTGCTTCTCAAACTGTGGTGCTCAGACCAGAAGCACTGGGATCACTTGGGAGCTTGTTAGAAATGCAGACTCAGTCTCCACCCCCAGCGTCTTGAATCCAAAACTTGGCAAGTTCTCAGCACAGAGTTGCGCTTAAGCATGGCTCAAGTCCCCCTCTAGCCAGGCCCACGGTAGATGAGCGTAACAATGCACCGGAAATGCACCTGGCTTATAGTCAGATCGGATTTGAACCCTCGTTCTGCCATGGGAGCCCAGGCAAGTTGCTCATCTTCTATCAGCTTCACTTTCCTCATCTGAAAAAGAAAAAAGGGGGTGTGGAGGGTTCCATGAAACACACAGATCATGGTAAGGATGAACCAAGGTGAAGTATGTAAATACTTCATATTGTAAGTTCAATACTTCATATTGTCAGGGTTGTAAGGCTATTTTGTACAATCTGTTTTAGTGTGGGTGAGGACATCAGGGTGGGCTTCCTGGGAGCAATATTGAAACTGGGCCTCAATGAATTCACAGGATAAACAGACAAAACGCACTTCAAAGGAACTGGAATCTGAAGGGGCTTGCTAAAAACGTGGGAAATGTCAAACATTGTTCTCTCTCTAGACCAGGTGATGCTGTAGGAAGGTCATGAATCTTGAACTGCGCTGTATTGGTCGTGTAACCTTGAAATCATGATGACTCTTCTGGCCTCAGTTCCCACATCTATAAAATGGGATCATATCATAATTTTCCCACAGTAACTATTACTTATATAATGAAAAGATATTTGCATAGTGGCTTATTTTTCAAAGAATAACTCCAATGCTTCTGGCCTGAGGGACCGTACTGATTGTGCCATAATCCAGGATATGCAGACTTTGAGGTTCCTGTAGGACTGCAAGTGGGGCTGTCCAGTAGCATTGCCTGTATAGGACAAGAAATGGAGGACATTTGTATATGTGTCTCACTTCACCTGATCAGTGTACAGATATGGTCACACTTATTCTTCAAATAAACTGCTCAAGCCCCCACCTGCCCTTCTTAACAGAAAGTCCAACATCTCTCTTAAGAGACCTGCCCCCTTCTCAGCTGGCCAAGGACCCCAGAGCTCTGAGAATTGAAGTCCTAGTTTCACTGTTGCACTGACCCACCACTGTCAGAAGGTGTCGCTGTTCAGCACCCCTCCTGCTGCAACCCATTAAGGCCAACCCTCTCTTTCATCTCCCAAAGCAGAACAGCACAGCTAAGTACTGCCCTGGAACCAGCTCTCACCTATGTTGTGGGTGGATGCTCATCTATGAGACCCCCTGTGGTATGTTGTCTTTTGAGGCTTCTGATGTCCTCTCCACCAGCTCCAAGGACAAGGACAAGACCATGGGGCTCTACCTGCTGAGTGTTCCTACCTTCAGATCTCAGGGACTAGGGGTTGGGGAGGGTTGGTGTCTCAGGCCCTCCTTTTCCCAGGGCTGCTGGATTCCTATGTCACTTGGCCCATGCTCCCCTCAGATCCTCTACTTATCAAGGGGAGAGGCAGCTTTGCCTAAGACCCTCTTCTCCCAGAACAGTGTGGCCAAGTCCAGAGACCCTGCACAGAACCGAAAAGGTCAGCACCAAGGCGTCTTGTTTGAAACCTGTATTTCCGCCTTGCCAGACTTCAGCCACCTGGAAAGGTGTGGGAGGGAACCTCTGCATGTAGGTGATGAGTGAGGACACACTGGTGGGGGGAGGAGGGGTCAAATCTTAGGAGAGCAGTGGGGCAAAGAGGGCCTTGTATGAGCCATACAAGGCAGAGACAGACACAGGGCTGAAACGGGTGGAAGGGTGTGCTGGGTTACAGGCCAGGGAGGACAGGACTTCAAGAAGGAGAAAGAGGACCAAGAGGGCAGGAAGGGAGTCTGAACGGGGCCTCTGTGTGTGGCAATTCTAAAGTCATCAGTGGTCTGGATGCAGGGGGTTCAGAGAGGGTCATGGGAGCCAGTGGGAACAGAGTGAGGAAATGTGGGCAGAAGTATGTCTATAAAGAGGCAAGAGTTGGGGTGGAGAAGGATGCAGAATCAAGAGAAGGCTTTGTTGTTACAGGAGCACCTTTGAAAACAGGACAGAGAAGGTTAATTGTCTGGATGAGGGAGGAGAGAGGGGGACTGAGGGCAAAGGTAGGGGAATGATGAGAGGAGAGGGAGATAAACAGGAAGGGTGACCTGGCCCCATCTTAGGTCATCTTTTAACAGCCAACGTAAGGAATCTGCCTCCATGCAGACAGCAAGGAGCCCTGGAGCTGGTTGAGCAAGGGCTGATAGGATTGAGCTGTGTTTACATAAGGTTCATTTAGTGGGGGCGTGAGCATGCAGCTGAGCTGGGATCGCTGGGGTGTATAATGTGTTTTAAGCCAATGTATCAAGTGATTATCAATGATCTAATAAATATATATTTCCACACTCTGCTATCTCAACCCTACAATCTCTACCATGCTGGTGAAGAAAGGGAGGGCTTGACTCTGGCAAAAGCCTGTTTTGGAAAGATAAACAGGCCAGTTTCTGTGGGGGATGGAAATGTTCTACTAGATAGGGCGATGGTTGCACAACTCTGTAAATATATTAAAAAACCATCAAATCGTATACTTTAAATAGGCAAATGTTATGATATGTAAATCCTGTCAAGAAAGCTATTTTAAAAACTTCATACTCAACCAACGCGCCGTCTCCGATGAAGCACCAAGCCAAGGGAAACAATTGGTGCTCCCACCTATGATGAGAAAAGACTGGATGGCTGGGAGCTCCCGCACTCCCAAGCTGCCTGCACACATTCCTCTCTAATGTCAGCTTCTGCAGCACAGCACTGCCAGTCCATGCTCTGGGGCCAGTGCCGGGTGAGTTTTTGTTTCTATGGAACAGAGTTCCTTCCAATTACAGAACATCTGATTTATTCACCGTGGCATCTGCACCGCCTAGCCAACTGCCAAACACATGGTCAACGCTCAATAGATATTTGCTGAATAAATGAAGGAATGACTTAGCTGGAATGAACATTCAGATCATTTTCTAATATCATTAACTTAAAGACAAGATGCTCAGAGAGGTAAAGGAACTGAGACCACTTAGCTGGTAAGAGGCAGAAAGTTCATTTCAACACGTCTGTATTGAGCTCCTGTATATGAAGTATTAGTCTAAGCACAGTGAATGACACCAACATGATGAAGATGAAGTCGTTGCTCTCAACCAATAGGGCATATAAATCATGTTACTCACACAGGGGAAAAGGGAACGGAGGCTGGAATCAGGCTCTGAGTAGGGGCCTTCCATTTCCCAGTCTCCATTAATCTTTAAAGACACCATATCAGGGGGGCTTCATTATCCCCAATTTACAAATAAGGAAATTTAATCTCAGGAACATGATACACTAATTAGAGGAAGACTCAGAATTTGAACCCAGGTCTACCAGGTGGCAAAATCAAATTCTTTGCCTAACACTATTATTATATAATTCAAGAAATAAAGGCCAAATGAATTCAAAAACATAATTATTCAGGGAAAAAGCCCAAATTAGTTCAAAGGAAGAAGTTGCCCGCATCTGTTTGGGAGTTGTCAGAAATGTTTCATGAGAGAAGTAGCACTGGGTCATTACAAGATTTTTTGACAGAGAGCTATAGGGCAGGCAGAGGGTTAGATGGAGACAGGTGGCCATTTTGGACAGAAAATGCAGCAGGAACTTCATGTATAAAGAAAAGCCCAAGGGCCAGCAGAGTGGCTCAGTTGGTTAAGAGCTCGCTCAGGAGTGCGAGGTTTGAGCAACAGCAGTTCGAGTCCTGGCCCGCGCTGAGCTGCCAACAGGAAGCAGGATGACTCAGCTAAAAAAAAAAAAAAATGCCCATAACTCAGTTCAGCTGGAACCAGAATCCCTGTAGGACAGAATCCAATAGTGGGATAAAGGGGAAGGGGGAATTTAGGGACATATCACATACAGATGCTTGGAAGCCTGGAAGAGAAACTTGGACTTAATTTGAAGATGGTGTTTCATCAGGGAGATGACATCATAATCAGAGCTGGGCTTTTTAGGAAGATTTACTTTTCAGCATATATAGGTTGGCTTGCAAAAGTCAGAAGCTGGAGACAGGGAATCAGTTCGGAGGTCGCTGAAATAATCCAGGGCCAGAAATAGGTAGATTTTCAGCGGAGCTGGAAAGGAGACAATGATTTACATTGTTATAATGCACATGTGTCTGGATACAACCCATCTATATTATAATTATATAATTGCTGAGTATATCTACTCAGTAATAAGAGATATTTACTGAGTATTCACTATGTACCAAGCACTTTGCTAAGTGCTTTATTAGCACTAATTCATTACTACTCATAGAGCCTTATGAGATGGATGCTATTATTATCCCTATTGTACAGATGAGTAAATTGAGGTTTAGAGAGAATAGGAAATATACCCAAGGTCATATAATTAGTAACTGCAGAATACGGGACTCAACCTAGGTTTATTTGACTCCAGAGTCCACGCTCTTATCCACATGCTACATCTCAGCCCTCATGGGCATCTCTTCCTGGCTCAGCCTCCTCTAAATTAACAAGATTTGGGTGGAAATGTAAGGGCAGCCTGGTATAGTAGAAATAACATGAGACCTGAAGTGCAACAGACCTGAGCCTGGAATCCTGGCTCAGCTACTTACAAACTGAGTGATACTGAGCATGTTAACTTGACTTCCCTGAGCTCATTTTCTTTCTATAAAATGGAGATAGCATATCAACATCCCAGGGTTGTTGAGAAGATTAAAAGTGGATAAATTGGAACATCCCCAGGCAGTGCATGGCACATGTAACAAGTTTTCCATACATGGTAGTTGTTAATAATCATAATAAAAGGGTATCCAGGTGAGGGTGATCAAGCTGACAAGAGCACTAGAGATCAAACCACAAGAGGGCCCGTGAGAGCAGTGGCTGTACTTACCTGAGAAGGGATTGCTGCAAAAGTCACCTTCAAATATAGTGTTGTCAAGTGGGCATAGATCAGCGGTTCTCAACCTTCCTAATGCCGCGACCCCTTAATACAGTTCCTCAAGTTGTGGTGACCTCCAACCATAAAATTATTTTCGTTGCTACTCTATAACTGTAATTTTGCTACTGTTATGAATCGTAATGTAAATATCTTTTTGTTTTCCCATGGTCTNTTGCTACTGTTATGAATCGTAATGTAAATATCTTTTTGTTTTCCCATGGTCTTAGGCGACCCCTGTGAAAGGGTCGTTCGACCCCCAAAGGGGTCACAACCCACAGGTTGAGAACCGCTGGCGTAGATGGACAGGGCTCATTCTACGTGGCTCAAGAGGGCAGAACTGAGACCAGGAGGCTAGTTTAGGAGTTTCTAACCACCTCAGGTGACTCACATGGGAACAGACGTCTTTGCGAGGTGGCGGGATCCTGTCACTGGACGTTTTCCAGAGAAGGTGGGTGCAATCCATCTAGAATGGATGCTATACAACAGGGGCTCTCAGACGTGAGTCTGTCAAAAATCACATGAGAGCTTGTTAAAACACACATTGCTGGGCCCACTTCCAGCAATTTTACTTCATTAGGCCCAGAGGTGGAGCCTGAGAATTTGCGTCTCTAACCAGTTCTTCGGTGATGGTGACGCTACTGGCCTGGATTCCACACTTTGAGAAACACTGCTTTAGAGAACAGTACTTTCTAAATTCCAAGCCCATTTGCTTGGTCCAAAACAATGCTTCCAGAAATTACAATAAAGTCAGAAAAGCTACAATATGCATCAAGTGTTTCGCAGTGCTAATTGTGTTCACTTTGAAAGGCTGTCTTTTATTCTGAGGCTGTGATCTTCTGACTTTTTCTGACATTAAAATGTCCTTTCTTTTGTGGAAAGATAATGATACTAGATGGTAGTTCTTTTGTTAGTTTGTTTCTTGGTTTCTTTACATGGCAAATATCAAGTTGACAACCCTGGAATGGTCCTCAGTGTTTAAAAAATCTCTTTGATCCGTGTACCTCTTAAATCCAGAGCACGCTGCTCCCGGGCATGTAAGCGTTCAGACCAAGTGGTTTCTCTAAGAGATCCCATCCAAAGTTAAGCTCAGGTGTCTTTTAAAAAGGTATTACACATCTTTGCCTCCTGAATGAACAGCTTACTCAGAACATATTTGACCTTTTATTGATGTTTCAAGTGATCATTATGTACATCTATTACTATAAAGGGCTGTCACACCCACACCATGCCCTCTGGGAGGCTATTTATATAGGACTCTTTGTGCCTCATTAAACAACCCAAGGTGCTTTTCTGTTTATGCGGAGCAATACTGCTGCCTCTGCAATTCACTCTCACCCCATCAGCTGTCCCTTCTCCGTGTCAACTTACTCCCCCACCCATCGCCCCACAGAATGTCAAGCCACCAAGCTTATTAAATCAGTGGTTTCATTTTGCACTTCAATTTAATTAATACTCTGTGACTTCGGGTCTGTTTATCACTGCCAAAGAATAAGGGCACAGGCTCAGTAAATGATCACAGAGACTTGCCCCTTTCTGTTGGGAAATGATAATGACAGATAATACACTGAGAACTTTCCAAGTGCCGGAACTTATCTAGAGCAGTTAAGTAACTTGCCCAAGGTTAATATATGGAAGAGGCAGGTTTCAAACCAGGACTATCGGAATGAAATTGGTCCTGCTAACCTTTACTCTACCTGGCTTTACTGGTGTTTCTACTAGTGAGCTGCTGGAAGTCTGACCACTAAATACATGAAGATTTTTACATGTTATTGTTTGTATGTAATGCTTATTTGCCAATAGTTTTTTTTGTTTGTTTGTTTGTTTTTAAGGGATGTTCTGACTTTGTTAGAAGAAACTGAAATTTTTCTGATTCCAGAATCAAGCTGGGAACCAGTTGACTTTGGGACACTGGCCACGTGCCGGGCACTGGGCACAAGGAGATTAAAAATATTAAAACAAATAAATAACAGGGAGCACAAGCTAATGCAAGGCAGCTTTATGACCACTCTCCTTGATAGATATTCAATGCTTTATTAGTTGATTCTTAAATGAATGAGTGTTGCAATCAAGAATGTTGGTCAGCAAGTTTGTGGCTGAGCTGAGCACGAAGAAGGCAGTAACCACAAAGAAGCTGCAAGAACTGCCCTTGGGAATGATATAGTCAAGTATGAAAACACTCTGGGCTGCCACAGGGTCAAGGATAGAAATGGCAATGGCCCTGATTTCTGCGGACTGCCTCTCAATCGCCAAGACTGGTCAGTCAGAGTCATTTGCTTCAATCTTTCCTATTCTAGAAAGCACTGAGAACTGGACATCATGGCAGGCTGAGAAAGGAGAGTGGTGGCTGCATTTCCTTTGAGGTGGGCTGGTCTTCAGCAAACTACTTACCTGTGTGCTAGGAGAGATGCTGACAGGCCAAATGGCGCCGCCATCTCATGAAATTCCTACCATCTGAACAACCGTGAGATGCCATAATGCCAGTAAGGGCGTAGGAAAATTGCTCTTCTTATATCCTGTGGGTAATGTTTTGGGAGAGAAATGTAGTAATTGGTTGTAAAATATAAAAAGTAATTTAAGAAAATTTTGTAAGTCCGAAAACATGTATGATAACAAAACTTTCAGTGGAACTTTGCTCATCATAATACAACTTTGGAAACAACTTAAATGCCCTTCGATAGAGGACTGATTGACTACATTAAGCTACACACATGCATGCGCGTGCGCACACACACACACACACACAAACAGCTATATACATACACACAAACATACATATTGGAACACAAAGAAACCATTAAAATGTCAATAGTGTATGGTTAAGTGTTTAAAAAGCAAAACTGTCAAACTCACGTTGAGTTGCTCTTGTTTTGTAAAATTATATATGTGGGCCTAGACATATATCTAGAAGTTTGGTCATGAATATGTGAACTTTAGTTATCTCTGGATGACAAGATTTGAGTTGATTTTTTTACTTTCTTCTCTGTGCTTTCCTGTATAGTTGGAATTGTTTAGACGAATACAGCCCACATTGACAAAAGCAACAAAGCTAATTTTACATAAAATATAAGTTACAGCTGTTATTAATCTCTTTTTAAAAAATATTGCTCCTTCTGCAACAGCCATGCTTTCGTAAGGGCTAATGTGTCAGACGGATTCATTCACATCTTGGAAAGAAGACAACACTGCCCCGAAGGGAAAAGATACAGGAAATGGACTCTCATGGCTTGCCTGCTCCTCACCCCTGATGATGTCCCATTATCATTTCTTTGCACCAGACCCAATGACCTCTGACACATGTCTCAGTCAGTTCGGGCTGCTATAACGGAATACCACAGACTGGGTGGCTTAAACAACAGATATTTATTTCTCACAGTTCTGGAGGTTGGAAGTCTGAGATCAGGGTGCCAAAATAGTTGGGTTCTTGGTGAGGGTCCTCCTCTTGGTTCACAGATGGCTGCCCTCTCACTGTATCCTCACATGGCAGAAAGAAAGAGCTCTGGTCCCTTTATCTTCTTATAAGGGCACTAATCCCACCATGGGGGTTCTACCCTCATATCCTCATCCAACCCCAATTACCTCCCAAAGGCCCCATCTCCTAATACCATCACTTTGGGGAGTAAGGTGTCAATAATAATAAATGGAGCCACTTTAAAATGGAGCCGAAGCTGCCATGCCAGAGGAACTGCCTTGCATGTCTTATGCCTCAAACCTTTGGAATGTTCAAACAGGGTAAATAACCTTTGGACTGGATCTAAGCAACCTTGTGCCTTGCAAAAGAACTGCTTGCAAAGATAACAAGAAAGCAGTTATCATGACTACTGGGCTGATGACTACTAGACTGAAAATTAAAAACTTTGTTTAGAATTAATGTCACCATATTATGTTATCTCTACCAATAGAAATGCCTTCCTCCTATTGATGTAACTGTTCCCCTTTTCCTTCTCATAAGTACGCCTTGCCTTTGTCTACTAGCTGGAATACTATTTGGGCTTCTGCCTGAATCTGTGCATCCTGAATAGCTATTCTTACTGATCTCACATAAACATTTGTTGCCTCTCACTTTGGAAGGCCTTTTGATTTTTAAGTTAACATGGGTTTCAACATATGAATTTGGGGGGATACAAGCATGCAGTCCAAGGCACTCATCATTTCTCCTACTCTCCCCAACCTATGTTCTTCTCCTTGTTGGTAAACATCCCCATCTGCCTTGTCATCCAAGCCAAATACCCAGAAATCATCCCAGACTCCTCTTCTGCTTCTCCTTACCTTCTCCAATATCTCTCAAACTTTTCATTTATTTTCCACTTCTACTGGTACTACCTTAGTTTGGTAATCTCATCACCTCTCACCTGGGCTCTTATTATGTCCTCCTACCTGGCCTCAGTTCTGCTCGCTGATTCTTTTTCCGTTCTGCAACCAGAGCCATCGTTATACATGTAGGGATGAACAAGGCACTCTCTCTTCTAAAATTTGCTAGTCATTCCCCATTGTTTACACTGTACATTGTAAGTTCCTTTCAGTTGTCCAAATACTTCTGGGCTTTAGCACATGGCATTTTTCTCCTGGAATGTTCTTCCTTTAAATCCAAATGCTTCACCTCGCTAACTCCTACTCATCCCAGGACCATGACCCATGACATAGTCATCAATGTGTCTCTGGTTAGTCATCAATTCCCCTCAGAAGCCTTCCTGGGGAGGTGGCCTTTGGACAGGAGTCCGCCATCCTCCCAGAATGCCGGCATTCTGAATAAAACTGCTTTTGTTTCCACCAAAAAAACCGACTTCCTGGAGTGTGTGTGTGTGTGTGTGTGTGTGTACCTTCATGCGCTTCCATTGTACCCTCTAATTCCTTATCACAGTACTTAACACATTGAGTTATCATTACCTATTGATTTGTCTAGATTTCCACAATGATCTGTCAGGGCCAAGGTTATGTCTAGTTCATTGCTCTAACACCAGGACTTTGCACAATTCCTGCATATCAATAATCACTGATTGAATATGCTGCAGATACAGTTCATTTCCATCTAAAATTGATTCCCTTTCTTTTGCTGTATGTTGCTGTACCTGATTGAGCACCAGAACTGTGGCCACTCCAGCCATCATCAGGAAAGCTACCCTGGGAAACACAGAGGAGGCAGAAGATAGGAAGCACTGGGTCTGTCAGGATGTCATTGAGCCAATGAATTAACCAACTCTGGGTCAATCTACCTTCAGACTGCTTGCTACATGAGAAAATAATCACCCGTGTTGTTGCAGCTCTTTGTCTTACATGCAGCCAAATCATCACAAGTTAAGATTGAGTGAATGAATGAATGAATGACTCCATCCACTAGCATAAGAAAGCCAGCTCCCCTAGAATTGAGTTAAAGTCTTGTCTCAGAGACTTCAAAAACTGTTTACTGTTCTTAAAAAATTCAAAGTAATAAGGTAATAAAATCTTGATTATCTGGAAGTTACCATATTATATAGTTTTCTAAATAGATTTAACTTTTAGGTGAAAACTGCCCTTTGCAAGGGAAAAGAATCTCTTATTAGGGCTTTATTTAGAAAAAGAAAACGTTCTTAGAGAAGTTTCGGAGTCAATATGCCTTCAGTTCAGTATCCTAAATGTTAGTGTACATGAGCCTAGCTTGGAGACCTTTTTAAAAAGCCCACTCCTGGGCTTCCTCTCTGAAGACTTAGATGCAGTGGGATGTTATGGAGTCTAGGATTCTGCACTTTAGCCAGCATTCTGATGTGGCTGGTCTGCAGGCCATACACACTTCAACAAGCCCTATTCTAAAACTTCCACTCTACATCTATGGGACTGAACCCTTAGAAATAGTGTTTCACCCCAAAATCAAGGGAGCAGATTCAACTGATGGAAAGACCCAAAAGACGGGAGCCAGATCTTGACTTCTCTGTTCACCAGAATAAGACACTGATCAGGCAAGTCACTTAAGCTCTCTGTGTCTCACTGTCCCCATTTATTAAAACCAACATGGATTAACATTTCTCTGCATTGCCATCCCTCAAAGTAGTTGTAAAGACCAATAATCTCCGTAGATGTACCGTACAAATATAAGAAAATGCTCTTTGTGAGAACTCTAGTGTTTATTTAGCTCCTTAATAATAATAAAAAAAATATTTGTGTTCATTAGGCTCTAGTCATTAGGAAAGAAATGGGGACTCACATGTTAGAAAAATTGCAACATTTTGCTTAATTTCCAGTTAACCTGAGAACTTGTTAACCAGAACATCCTATTCCTAAGCATTACAACTGAGTTTTCATGTAAATAATGTACTAACAATGGGTATTTATTAGCATTCATGGGTAGACTCTCTGTCAAAAGGAGCTGCCTTGACTTGGACAATTAATGGGCCCAACAACCCACAGAATGGGAGAAAATATTTGCAAATCATATATCCAATATGGGATTAATATCCACAATATAAAGAGAACTCCTATAACTCAACAACAACAACAAAAACAAACAACCTGGTTCAAAAATGGGTAAAGGATTTCAATAGACATTTCTCCACAGAAGATACATGAATGGCCAAAAATCACATGAAAAGATGCTCAGCATCACTAATTAGGGAAATGCAAATCAAAAGTACAATGAGATACCATCTCATACCCAGTAGGATGGCTACTATCAAAAAAAAAAAAAACACCCCAGAAAACCACAAGTGTTGGCAAAGATGTGGAGAAATGGGAACCCTTGTGTACTGTTGGTGGGAATGTCAAATGACAGCTTCTGTGAAAACAGTATGGCAGTTTCTCAAAAACATTAAACATAGAATTATCATATGACCCAGCAATTCCACTTCTAGGTAAATACCCAAAAGAATTGAAAACAGATATTTGTACACCCATGTTCATAACAGCATTAGTCACAGTAGCTAAAAATTGGAAGCAACCCGTGTTCATTGATAGACAAATGGATAAGTAAAATGTGGTACATACAATGGAATATTATTCAGCCTTAAAAAGGAAGGAAATTCTGCAATATACAATACTATAACGTGAATGAACCTTGAGGACATTATGCTAAATGAAATAAGCCAATCACAAAAAAGACAAATGCTGTATGATTCCACTTATATGAGATAGAGTAGTCAAAATCTTGGGAGTCAGAAAGTAGAATGGTACTTGTCAGGGGCTGGGTTCGGGGGTGGGGTGATGGGGAGTTATTGTTTAAAAGTATAGTTTCAGTTTTACAAGATGAAAAGAGTTACGGGAATGGGTGGTGGTGATGGCTATACAACAATGTGAATTATTTAATACCATTGAATTGAATTGCTCACTAAAAATAGTTCAGATGGTAATTGCTATGTGTATTTCACCACAATAAAAAAACTATTTAAAAAAATTAATGGGGCCAAGATTACATACTGCATGATTTCATTCATGTGACCTTCTGGAAAAGACAAAACTATAGTACTGAGAACAGAGCAGTGTTTGCCAGGGGCTAGTGGAGGGGAAAGGCTGTGACTACAAAGGAGTCCAGGAGGAAGTTATTGGAGGAGTTGGGACTATTCTATATCCTCATTGTGCTGGTTAGAAGAACCTTCACACGTGCTAACATTCATACACTGCACATGAAGATAAGCACTTTAGCTATTTGTTAACTTAAAAAAAATAAAATTAATTCATTGGCCCAACTCACAGTAACTCTTTTCCTTGCCCAGATAATAGCAATCCAAAGGGTTGGAGTTTGTGGAGAGCGAAAAGAAGAATCTGAGATACAGGAGAAGGGGCAGGAAGGGAGAATGAGAATATGCACGCTGGGTAAACAACTGTCCTAAGTACTTTCTTACTTTTCTTCTTGGAGCGTTGTCCCCTAAAGATCAGTCTTATTTATTTCTTGAGGCTTCCTCCTCCTCTTCCCAACTGTAAAACTATTCTGAGTATCAGTAATTTCTGTTGTTTCTCTTACAAGGCACTAAACACTTTGGTACAACGTTAACTTTTAGGTTGAATTTTACTTTCCCAATTACCTCATTCCCCAACAATGCTGAAGATGGCTAAGCTTACAAAGCAAAGCCCTCTCTAACAATTCCATCGTTTGAATTCAGACAGAACTAGGAGAAAGGCATTTTCCAGTGTCTCTCCTCTTTACCCTTCAAATGCCCCTCTTAAGCAGGGCTGCTAGAGATATAATGTAAGACAAGTCTGTAACTTTTAATTTTTTTAGTAGCCACCTTAAAAAAGTAAATAATGCAATTGAAATCAATTTTAATACTGTTTTATTTAACCCAATATGTCGAAATGTTGTCATTTCAACATGCAACCCATATAAAAATTATTAGATATTTTGCATTCTCTTTTCTGCACTCCGTCTTTGAAATCCAATGTGTGTTTTGCCCTTAAAGTACATCGCAATTTGGACTAGCCACATACCAAGCCCAACATAAACAGCCTCTCATTATTTGGACTTCAATCATTATTGAATGTTTGAGCCTCTGCTTACATTCTTCATTCACTGATTGGTCAGCAAACACTGGAGGGTCTCCTATGCACAAGCATTATGCTGCAAACTGGGAATACAAAAGCAGATGGAGACTTTGATTGGCCTAAAGCTCAGTCTGTGAGGTGGGAGACACAAAGGGATGATTATAAAATAATGTGAAGTAATCATGACATATATGCACTCTATTTTATGAGCACCTGAAAGGGAAAAGAAGTGCAGCAAATGTAATTTTAGAAGTGGCCCTGAGCTGGCTTCAAGGATGTGTGATGTTAGCTCTATGAAGGGGATGGGAAAGGGCATTCCAGAAGTGCCAGCTTGAGCAAAGGCATTCAAACAAGGGAGAATGGGTCCCAGGGAACCTCCTAAGAGTACACATTAGCGCAAAAATGAAAAAGGAAAGTGAATTAGGTAAACAATCCCAGTGATAGGGCTGGTAGGTTATGTTTGGCTTCTAAAATAAAAAGTCTCCTACATTTCCTAAAATTTCAAAAAACGTGAAATGCAAATGACACAAGATTTAGGCTTTGGCCAGTAACAGTCGCCGTTCCTCTGGAGTGACTGCTCCATGAGGGCAGCGCCATCTGCTTTGCTCGCCACACTGCCTCAGGGCCTGCAACTCTGCCTGGCACAGAGTAGGTGCTAGAGGGTTTACAATAGCTAGAGTTTCCGCCTTCATTCTCTCCCCTCCAGTCCTCCCCGTCCAGCAGAGTGGGAAATGGGGAAGGGTGCTAGCCAAGCAAGGAATCTCCGCCAAGCTGCAGTGCACCCCCGCCCCACGCCTAGGGAGGTAACTCAATGCATGACCGCTTCACGCACCTCTCGCGGAGGCAGAGTGAAGGAGGGAGCAGCCGCGCCCCTCGGCTGAGGCTGAAGGGTGGACCCCCGCAGCCCCCCAGGACCGGAAGCGCGAATCTGGCCGCCCGCGCCGCTGCAGCCCCGACGATGCCGAGCGCGGTGGACCCCGCCAGCGCGCAGGTTCCCGGCCACCCCTCCCCGCGCTTTGGCAAGAAGAGGGTGGAGCGGCCTGACAACCGCAGCCAATAAAAGCAGCGGGTTCCTGGTCCGATCTCCGACGCGGCTCGCCATTGGTCGCCACCCGGGTCTCGGCCCACCGAACCTTTGCGACCCGAGCCAATCGCGAGGCGGCGAGGCGACCCCCGGCTCCCTAGAAGCGGGCAACCGGGGCAGGCAGTGCAGGAGGGCGCGGAGCGGGTGGCGGTGACAGACGACGCGAACCAGCATCCCCTCCCCCTCGCAGCGCGCCGGCGGCCTCACCATGGATCCCGCGGTGTCGCTGGCCGTGTGCGCGCTGCTCTTCCTGCTCTGGATCCGCGTGAAAGGGCTGGAGTTCGTGCTTATCCACCAGCGCTGGGTGTTCGTGTGCCTCTTTTTGCTGCCGCTGTCCCTCATTTTCGACATCTACTACTATGTGCGCGCCTGGGTGGTGTTCAAGCTTAGCAGCGCGCCGCGCTTGCACGAACAGCGCGTGCGGGATATCCAGAAGCAGGTGAGCTTCCCCGGGCGGGCGCCGGAGACCCGGGCTCGCGGGGCAGGGCCTTGTGCGTGCATAGCGGGTCGCGAGGCGCAGAGTGGTGTGCGGTGTAGGGGGAGCCCAGACTGCAAGGAGGCGGTGGGTTTGAGGGGGATTTGAACTCAATACAAATGTGATGGTTGGGCATTCCCGGGAAGGGAACGGAGTAAGCAAAGGCATAGAGGGATCAAAACATTGCTCTGCTGTTTATGGAGTGCTCGGGTACCCGGAGAGATATAAAGAATCATAAGATAGGGGAGGTGGACAGTGCACAGGTAGTTGTCACTAGGCCCTAGCGATTTCGGAGGAGGGAGGGCTTCCGGGAGGTGGAGCTGGCACTAGAGACTGAAAGTAGGGGAAATGAATGGGGAAAGGTGTATCGGGTAGAGGGTCCGTTGTGAGCGACGGTGGAGAGTGGGAGAACGTTGGAAAGTGAGTTTGGAGCTAGGTTGGGGAGGGGCCTTGAGTTTGGGGTTTACTATGTAGCAGCAAGGAGCTTTTGACACCTTTAGGATAAAGGACCGAAGTGACAAGGTGATAGGTAGCCAGGGTGAGGAGCCTTGCAGCCCTGGGGCCAGGCACTCACTCCTGGACAAGGCATTCATCTACCTGCCGGTAACTCTGTACATCCTCCCCTGTGTGGGCATCCACAGAGCCTGCCCTGCTGCTGCCTTCTCGCATTGAGGGCTGGCATGGGCTTCAAGCCTGGGCAGGTTCTTGGCTCCCTCTGCCCCTCCTTATGTTAGTCTCTTACTGGTGTCAGGTTGCAAAGAGGTTCTGTTTCCTGCCGCCCCTCTCACCGCAGGTGTAGCAGCCTCCATGTTCTGTTTGCACCTGTTTGGTGCTGCAAGCAAGAGCATGAAGATGGATACTGAGAGCATCCCCGTGAGGGAGAAGACTGTGGGCTGAGTGGGGGAATGCCGCATCTGGAAGTGCTTTGCTTGGGCTGCCCTGGGTTTTGCTGGTGACAGTCACAGCTCCAGAGCCCTCCGTACCCTTCCTCCCCAACTGCACCCTCTTTTGTAGCTCTTTCCATGGGTTCAGATTCTCCATTTACCTGCTTGTCTCCCCCCATCAGAGTGTGAGCTCCTGGAGGGCAGGGACTGGTGCCCGGCTCACCTCTGGCCCAGGGCAGCCCAGTGAGCACTTGTTTACCTAAACTAAACCAAAGGGCTCACTGTGGACAGGAAAACAGGGGACTTCACAGGACCAGCCCACTGCCCTAGACCTGCCATGTGCCACACCCGGTACCACTGATGTCCATTATTTCTAATCCTCACAGCAACCCTGGTAGGTCTTCTATTTATTCTACAGATGGGAAAAATTGAGGTTCAAACTGTAAATTAGTGCTCGAGATGATGGGGCTGGAGCCCAGGTCAGCTGATTTCAGAGCCTGAACTCTGACATTTTTCCTTTCCCATCCCATTCCGTTCCACCCTGTAGGTCTGGTTCTTTCGCCTCATACCTGGCGTGTTGTAATTAGCTACCAGACAAGTTCCTCTTTCCTGGGCCCTCCCGACCTCTCTTTGGCCTACATGCAGTCACAAGAACCACTTTCCACAGCATGGCCTCCCTGTCCAAAATCTTGGTTGGATCCAATCCAACCCATGTTTCAGGCTTTCTGGCTTCCCTATTTACTTCATGTTGTGTGGCCCACCCTCAAGCTTGAATGCAGTACCCCCAATCCATTCCTCACACCTCTGAGCTTGTATTACATCCTGGAACTGCAGAGTCAGGCAGGGGTAAGGCCTGCTTGGTCATGGAATCCCACCTCTTGTGCCTTCACCTCTACTCACAGGAATCCTTTCCTCAATAACCCCCTTCTGTCAGACACCTCTACTTCCCGGGGCATCCTGGCTTCTGATTACAGGAACGTTTTTCCCTGCGTTGAGCTGTTTGCCTGATCAGCTTCAATGCAACCTCCTCCAGGATTCTTGGTTTCAAATGATAGAAACTCACCCCAGACTGTTGAGCAAAAAAAGGGGGGACTTTATTGACCCAGGTCCTGAAAAGTCCCAGAGTAAAACTGGCTCAGGCATGACTGGATCTAGGATCTTCCATCTCCATCTTTCCATCCATCTGCCATCTCTTGGCTTTACTTTCCTCTGGGTTGACTTCATTCTCAGGGATGCAGCACACACCATTCCCCAACAGTTTCTGGCTTACATCCAGTCAGCTTAGTAGCCCCCTCCAGCAAGAGTGCCTCTCTGCGAACCAGTCTTATTGGCTTGACTTGGATGATAGGTCCATCCCTGAACCAGTCACTATGGCCAAGAGGATGGAGTCATGTGCCTACCACCTGGGGTAGGGGGAGAATCAGCATCACTTGAACCAAAGGAAGGGGGGCATGTTAGAAGCAGATGAAGAGGGAATGGATGGTCACAGGTCACAGCAACAGATAGCCACCTCCCTGCCTTTGTCCATCTCAGCAGGAAGGGAACACTTCCTTCCATGATACTGATGGGCTTGTTGTCCCCTGGGCTATTTGTTCTCTGTGTTTTGTGCCCTGGTCACTTATAGCAGAGGTTTTTCAATCTCTTCCTTCATTAGCTTGGTGGTTTTTCCCTGCCCCTTCTCTCCCCCTCCAAGTGATACATGAGTTAACACATGCAAATGTTTAGAACAGGGCTTGGCATATAATAAGCCTCGGTATGCGTTAGCTATTACTCTGTTGACTGTTACTACAAGCCCATGTATCCTTCTAAAAGTCAGATAGTTCTGGCTGTGAATCTGGGCTCTGCCCTTCCCTGGTTGTGTGACCTTGGGCAAGTTATTTTGCCTCCCAGTTTTCTCATCTGCAAAAGGGGATCATCCCAACCTCCTGGGCTTGTTGTGAGAATTAAATGAGATGGTGTACAACACGTGCCTGGCACAGTGGGGGCACCTAGTAAATGATTATCATTTGTCTGGTTGCTATTACTACCATCATAAAGCCTTTCTTGAACTTCCCAGTTAGAGTTAATGTTTTTAAAGCACTATGACTCTGGATTCTAGCTCTTCATTCTGCTTTGTGGTGTGGCAACACCTCGCCTTTTCTGTTGGCCTCCCTAGCCTGGGAGATTCCAGACGGTAGAGCCAGTGGGCCTAGAAGAAAGCAAGGGCTCGGTAAATGTTTGCTGACAAGTGAAGGCCTCCTTCCCAGCTCCCTCTCCTGAAAGCAGAGCTTCAGGCTGCTCTGGGGATCCTGGTGGGGCTAGCTCAGCCTCTGTCCTGTGGTTGCAGGTGCGAGAATGGAAGGAGCAGGGCAGCAAGACCTTCATGTGCACGGGGCGCCCCGGCTGGCTCACTGTCTCGCTCCGGGTTGGGAAGTACAAGAAGACACACAAAAATATCATGATCAACCTGATGGACATTCTGGAGGTGGACACGAAGAAACAGGTGAGCATGGCGCGATTCCCAGGCTCTGAGTGGGCGGGGCAGTGCCTCTGGCGCAAATGACTCACAGGGAGATCATTCCAGCCGAGGGCATTCCAGAGTAGACAGGTCTGAAACCGCTGGTCATCAGAGAAGGCTCTGCCTACCACTGCCAACCTCCAGAGCCTCACAGCTTTGGAAGAGATTGGTCATAGCCTCACCTCCCAGGTGGGCCGACTGAGAGTTCAAGGGGATTCTTTGATTATCTGCAGTTTCACAGAAAGAGAGGGATGGGCAGATCATGGGCTTATGACACACAAGGCTTCCCCATCTCTGGGAAAGATTTGCAAACAAGCAGATGGGAGCCCAAAGTGAAGCCAATTGGTTGGCTTGCTTTATCTGGTTTCTCATCTTGTTTAAATTTAAACATGAACATAACACCCTTCTCCAGTATCTATCCAGCAGGCTCCTGGTTGGGAAGCCCTGTATTAAATTTTGAGAATGTACCCCGTTGTCTTTTTTTCATACAGTGCTTTACACCTGCTAAAAATTAACTTGCTTAATGCAAAACAAGACCTTGAATGGTCAGTCATATTAAAGCTGGTTTGATTATTAACAGTTATCTTTTAGGAAGAAGCTTTTTCCCTATGTAGGATGTCATAGTGCAGATTTCAAATAATAGGCTATCAATACAATGCATGAAGTGATCATTTGAATAAAAAAGGGGAGACACAAGAGGAAATCTATTTACCCCTTCTCGGTAAGGAAATGCGCTGGTAAACAGTGGGCTGTGCAAGTGGATGGAAGGGCGAGCCTTGTTCCAAGCTTCCTGGGGACCCACTTGTCAACGGCCGTGGACATGAGTATACTCTTTGGCCCATATAATAATTCTCGTTCTTAAAACCTAGCGTCAGGAAACAGGAAATAAGCTTAAGTCAAAACAACACAGAGAGAAATTGTATGATTCCCTGCCTCCCTTCTATCCATCCTCCCTTCCTTCCTTTGTTCCTACCTTCCTGCCTAAATCACAGCTTAATTTATAATCCACGACAACACAATATTCAATAGTAGGGAGCTATTACATACGGTATAGCCACATGATGGCATTTTGTTTGTAAGGCCTTGGCCAGTTTACTTAATCTCCTGTGCCTTTTTTCTCCCTAAATATGATATGTATGTATGATAACCTGCACATACAGTGTACAATTTGATAGTGAATTTTGACATGTGCATACACCTATGAAACCATTACCACAATCAAGACAGTGAACATACTGATCATCCCAAAAGCTTCCTCCTGCCCCTTGGTAATCCCTTCCTCAGAGCCCTCCCCACCTCTTACCCCACATCTCTAGGCAAATAATGATGTCCTTTTTGTCACTACATGAGTAAGTTAGTTTGTATTTAGAGTTTTATGTAAATCATGCATTATGTATTCTTGTTTTGTCTGGCTTCTTTCACTCAGCACAATTATTCTGAGATTCGTCCATGTTGAAGTATGTGTCAGAAGGACATTCTGTTTTATTGCTGAGTAGTTTTCCATTGTATGACTGTATCGCAGTTTGTTTATCCTTTCACTTATTGATGAATATTTAGATTACTTCCAGCTTTGGGTTATCACAAATAAAATGGCTCAGAACATTTATGGACACGCTTTGTGTGGACATATGCTTTCCTGCCTCTTGGGTAAATACCCAGGAGAGGAATGGCTGGATCATATGATAGGTATACAGTCAACTTTTTAAGAAACTGCCAAATTGTCTTCCAACGTGATTGTAGCATTTTACATAGAGGTTTAGTGCTATAAATTTTCCTCCGTGAGCCATCCTACAAACCTTGATGATAGGCATTTTCATCCAATTCAAAATATTTTCTGGTTTCATTTTTGACATCTGCTTTGACCCATGAATTATTTAGAGTATGTTATTCTGTTTCCAAATATTTGGGAATTTTCCAGAGATCTTTGTTACTGCTTTGTAATTTAACCCAATTGTTGTCAGAAAATATACTTTGTATGGTCACAGTGTTTTTCAATTCTTGGTAAATGTTCCATGTGCATTTTTTAAAATGTGTATTCTGCCATTTTGGGGTAATGTGTACTATAAATGTCAATTTGGTCAAGTTGGTTGGTAGTGTTGTTCAAGTCTTCTGTATCCTTACAAATTTTCTCTACTTATTCCATCAATTATTGAAAGAGGGCTGTTGAAATCTCTGCCTATGACTGTGGATTCATTTCTAGCTCTTGCAGTTCCATCAGTTTTTGCTTCATGTATTTTGAAGCTCTGTTATTAGGTACATAAATGTTTAAGACTTTTATGTCCCTTTGATTAATTGATCCTTTGTAATTATGAAATGACCTGTTTGATTCCTAGTTATATTTTTTGCTCTGAAATCTATTTTGTCTGATATATAGCTTTTTTTTTTACTTGTAGCATGATGTATCTTTTTCCACTCTTTTACTTTTAATCTGTTTTTTTTATATTCCATGTGTGTTTATTGTAGGCAGCATATAGGTAGTTATAGCTTGCTTGTTTTTGTCCAATCTGACAATCTCTGCCTTTTAATTGAGATGGTAAGACCATTTACATTTAATGTTATTATTGATAAGGTTTGGCTTAACTCTATCACCTTATTCTTTGTTTTCTGTTTCTCCCATTTGTTTTTTGTTCTCTTTTTCTTTTTTTTTCCCCTGTCTTCTTTTGGATTACTGAATAATTTTTATGATTCTATTTTGGCTCTTTGGTTGGATTATTAAGTATAACTCTGTTTTGCTATTTTAGCAGTTGTTTTAGGATTTGTAGTATACACTTTACTTATCACAGTCTAACTTCAAATTATATCCTATTTTATGTATAGTATAAGAATCTTATAGTAATATACTTCCATTTTTTTCCTCCTGACCTCTATGCTATTGTTGTCATACTGTTACTTATGTTATAAAGCCCACACCACATTATTACTATTTTTTTTTTTTAAGATTTTTATTGGGGAATTGGGGGAAGGGGAACAGACAAGTTGCTGTTGTTTTGTTCTTCAGTCTAGTTGTGGAGGACGTTGCTTCACTGGCCCAAGTTGGCACCATCATTGCGCTCTTCCTGGGCGAGGCCGATCAGTCGCCAGCTTCTGGACGGCCGCTCACTGCGGCTGCTGGCCGCTCACGCTGGCTGCTGGTCACACACGGTAGCCAATGGCAACCCACTGCCACAGGGGCTGCAGCCTACGCCGTCGCCAGCGACTCACGGCAGCCCAGCTCCAGGTTGAGCTGTTGTTCAGCATCTTAGCTGTGGAGGGCAGTGTCACTGGCCCTCATATGTGGGATCCGAACCGGGGCCCCTGGCGTCCCAAGCCAGTTCTTAACCATCGCGCCACTCGGCCGGCCTACATTATTATTTTTTAATAGTCAGTTATCTTTTAAAATAATTTAAATAATAAGAAAAAAAACCTTATGTACTTACCCATACAGTTTCCAGTTATTCAGTTCATTTTTCGGCTTTGTATTTCCATCTGGTTTCATTTTCCTTGAGCATGAAGGACCTGTTTTAACAAATTCTTGTGTTCTAACTTGGCTGGTGATGAATGTTTCAGCTGTTGTATGTCTGAAAACATTTATTTTGCCTTCATTTCTTTTTCAGTATTTATTGTGGTAAAATACACATAACATAAAATTTACGATCATAACCATGTTTAAGTGTACAGTTCAGTGGCATTAAATATATTCATAAAGTTATGTAGCCATCACCAACCATCCATCCTCATAACTCTTTTCATCTTGCAGAACTGAAACTCTATGCTTTTAAACAATAACTCCCCCAGTTCCTCCTCCCCCTAGGCCCTGGCAACCACCATTCTACTTTCTGTCTCTATGGTTTTGACTACTCTTAAGTATCTCATAATTGGAATCATACAGCACTTGTTGTTTTGTGATTGCTTTATTCCACTTATCATAATGTCCTCAAGGTTCATCCATGGTGTGGCATATTGCAGAATTTCAATCATTATTAAAGCTCAAAAATATTCCATTATATGTATATTCAACATTGTGCTTATCTGTTCTATCAGTGGACAGTTGGTTGCTTCAATGTTTTAGCTATTGTGAATAATGGTGCTATGAGCATGGATGTACAAATATCTTTTCAAGACCCTGCTTTCAATTCTTTTGGATATATACCTAGAAGTAGAATTGCTGGGTCATATGGTAATTCTATGTATAATTTTTTTGAGGAACTGCCATACTGTTTTCCACAGCAGCTGTGTCATTTTACAGCCCCACCAACAGTGTGCAAGGGATTCAATTCTCCACATCCTCACCAACACTTTGTTATTTTCTGGATTGTTTGTTTGTTTGATAGTAGCCATCCTAATGGATGTGAAGTTGCCTTCATTTTTGATAGATATTTTCACTGGGTATGGAATTCCAGATTGACAGTTTTTTCTTTCGGCACTTTAAAGATGCTGCCTCACTGTCATCTTGCTTGCATTGTTTCCAACAAGAAATCTCTTATCCTTATCTTTGTTCTTCTGTATGTAACATGTCTTTTTTCCCTCTGACTGTTTTTAAGATTTTCTGTTTATCGCTAGTTTTGAGAAATTTTACTGTGATGTGCCTTAGTATATTTTTTTCATAATTCTTGTGCTTGGAATTCGTTATAATTTTTATCAAATTTGGAAATTTGGGGGTCTTTATTTCTTCAAATTTTTTTCTGTCTGCTACTCTCTTTGAGGACTGCTAGCACACATATATTAGGCCACTTGAAGTTGTTTCACAGCTTGGCTCACTGATGCACTGTTGATTTTAATGTCTTTTTCCCCTTTGTGTTTCATTTGGATAGTTTCTATTACTGTGTATTAATTTTAGTACTCTTTCCTTCTGCAGTGTCTAATTTGCCATCATCCCAGCCAGTGTATTTTTCATCTCAGATGTTGTCGTTTTGATTTCTAGAAGTTCAATATGGGTTTTTTACTATCTTTTTAACGTCTCTACTTAACTTTTTGACCATAAGGAATACAGCAATAATAACTATCTTAATGCCCTTGTGTGCTAATTTGAACATTTGTGTCAAATATGGGTCTGTTTTATTAAAACCGATTAATTGACTTTTCTCTTCATTATGGGTTGAATTTGTCTGCTTCTTTGCAAACCTAGTAAACTTTGATAAGATTTTAGAGACATTGTGAATTTTACCTTGTTGGGTGCTGGCTATTTTTGTATTCTTGTAAATCTTCTTGAGTGTTGTTCTGGGATATAACTAAGTTACTGAGAAACAGTTTGATCCTCTTACTTCTTGATTTTTCAGGTGGGGCCAGAATAGCATTTAATCTAAGGGTAGTTATTCCCCATTGTGAGGCAACACCACTCTGTGTACTCTACCCAGTGGCCTGTGAAGCGCGAGGTTTTCCAGTCTGGCTTGTGGGAACAGATACTGTTCCCTGCGCTGAGCTCCTGCACTGTTACTTGTTATCCTTTCTGGTGGCTCTTTCCCAGGCCTCTCTCAGGTAATTTCCTTACGTGTATGCACTGATCAGTATTCAGCGGGCACCCTTTTTAGTTCTTCGGAGCTTTCTCTCTATACAATTTCCTCTCCTACTCTGCCCTGCAAGTTCTATTCACCTTGGCCTTCTAGGGTTCTCAACTCAGACTCCACTGGGCCCCTCTGGGCTCCCTGCCCCTGCACTCCCTAACTCCAGGCAGTTAGCTAGAGCATTTGCAGAGTTCTCATTTTTTCCTATCTGAGCAATCATTAACTTCATTGCCTGATGTCCACTATGTTGAAAACTCTTGTTTTATGTATTTTTGTCTGCTTTTTGTTTTCAGGCAGCAGGGTAACCTGATCCTGGTTGCTCTATCCTGGCTGGAAGCAGAAGTTCACATGATGGCATATTAATGTGTCCATTAAAAATCATGTTTTCCAAGAATATTTAGTAGCAAAGGATAGTGGTCATAGTATCATGTTAAACTTTAAAAGCAAGACATAGAAGTATGGGTTTGCATTTGTGTGTGTGTGTGTGCATTGTATTAAAACATACAAAATAACTAGATTGAAGAACAAAAGAACAACAACAAAAAAAAAGGACAGCAACTTGTCTGTTCCCCTTCCCCCAATTCCCCAATAAAAATCTTTAAAAAAAAACAACGTACAAAATAGCAACACAGACATGCATAGAAAAAGACTAAAAATAAATACATTCCAGTGTCAACATTGATAACTCTGAAGAACTGGATGGATGATTTTTGCCTTCTTCATATATGCTGTTTCTTCCAAATAAGGGAGTGTTTCTTCTATAACCTAGAAGAAAAATAAACCAAGTATTAAGTGTGAAGATATTTGAAAGGACAAGATTAAGCAAGAGCAAACCTGGAGCCAGAAATCCCATTCATTATAATGAAAGGCAGTGTAACATTCTAGAAAGAGGATATATGGGTCATGTAGAAATCTCTGCATGATTGTTTGGGAAGATTTGGGGGGATATCTTCTACATGAGTAACCCCTGTTAGGCCTGGCAGTCTCCTTGTGACTTAGGTTCTCTCCTCTTGTGTCAACAGATTGTCCGTGTGGAGCCCTTGGTGACTATGGGTCAGGTGACTGCCCTGCTAAACTCCATTGGCTGGACCCTGCCTGTGTTGCCCGAGCTCGATGACCTTACAGTGGGTAAGGACTCAGACAATCCTAGGATTATAGCTGAGGCACCTTAGCCCACCTTCCGTCCCGTGCAGGAGTTGCCACTATACCATCTGTGACAGAAATCGCTCCCATCTCTGTTTGCCCAGCTCCAAAGACAGAGTGCTCCCTGCAGGCCATTCCATTTCTAAACAGCTCAAGTTATCAGCAGTGTTTAATCTCTGTCTTCAATCTGCTTCCCTGTGACTTGTATCCATGGCTCCAGCTCTGCCCTGTGGAGCACACAGAATAAATCTTTCCTTCCAAAGGATTCGTGGTCCCCAAAACCTTCTCTTCTCAAGGGGAAACACCTTCAGCTCTTGTAACTGTTCCCATGGGACACAGCTTCCTGCCATCCAGCCAACCCCCCTTTTCATTAAGGTCCCTAGTAAAATGAATGCACACAGGTTTGTAGGTTGTGTCTGGCCAGAAGTGAAGATGTGAGCGTCCTTGACAGGGTCTCCCCATTCATCCCCCTCCTTTGAGCAAGCCCTCATCCTCCGATCTGAGCCCTTTCTCCTCTCTCGTGCTCTTTAGATCCACAGAGATGAGAAATCTCCCCTAAATGGACAGCCCGTTTCTGCCATCCCTGTCACACCACCCTCGTGCTATAAGCTTCCCACTCCAGTGACGTGCCCTTTACCTAGTTCTCCCCCACCCCGCACCCCACTGCTCCACCCGGCTAACACATGTGTCTCTACAGGGGGTTTGATCATGGGCACGGGCATCGAGTCATCATCCCACAAGTATGGTCTGTTCCAACACATCTGCACTGCCTATGAGCTAGTCCTGGCTGACGGCAGCTTTGTGCGATGCACACCGGTGAGTTCAGAGATGGGGTGTCCCTGTCAGCCTGCCCAGGGCATCAAGGACCGTGGCACTGGGGAGATGGCTCCCCTTGGGGTGCTTCATTTGAAATACACTTGTTCAGTCTGGGTCTGCATTCATAATAATAACAGCGGTTTATATAGCCCCTTTATGTGCTCAGACACTATTATAAATGCTTAATATATAGTAAGGCTTTTAATCCTTCAACAACTTTATGAGGTAGGTACTATTATTAGCCACATTTTATAGATAGGAAACTAAAGCACAGAGAGGTTAATAAACTTGGCCAAGGTCAGACAGCTAGTACATCCCACTTAGCTAGATCCGGGTTATCAGGCTCCCAGATCAATGTCCAAAGCCTTTCATTACACTATACTGCCTCTCTGGGGGAACTCAGGCTTGAGTATCAAAGCTCTATGCCAGATGGTGTGAGGGGTAACTAAAAGAGATAACAGGGCCTGTTTTGGAGAAATAAAAGACAACTCTACTGCCCAAAGTGGGACACAGACATTTAAGGCATTTACTCTAAGGAGTGGGACAGGATTGAAACTTGAAATAAACTCAGATCTCTCCAAGCATATCTGAAGGGCCCCTGGGTTGGGGGGACAGTGCAAGCCTTTAGAAGCGAATGTTTCAGCGAGTGGCCAGAGTTGTTTGGCCTCACAGAAGAGTCCAGGGCAGGACTCCCGCTTGGGAGCTCTAGTCTTGGGCAAGAGAGATCCCTTTCACCTCAGTTGAGCATGTTTTCCTAAACACGCTGGGCCCTGCCTTGTAACCTATTTATTACCAGCAGAGAGAGGAGACAAACATTCGTGAATTACTTCCCTTCTCTGAGGCCACGTTTGCTATCTGACAAATGCGATGTCAGGAGGAGAAAGTAGATGCCACCTGGGAAGCTCCTAGCATAGAGCTGGACACGCAGCAGACGCCTGGTTATTACTTACTGCTGATCTGACTGTGTGATCAGGGGGTGGCCTGGATGGGGATCAGTTGGCCCACTTTGGCTGTTCCAGAGGCTTCTGGTCCACTGCAGAGCTTCCCTGCTCCATCCCCCTGTCCACTGCACCCACCGTGTCCACACCAATGGCATTCAGCATGAGCAGACACCACATGGCTGTCCTCTAGGTGAAGAACAGACAAGGCTGGACTTTTTCAAAAAGCACTCTATTAGAACCAAAGAATCTAAGTTAGAATGGCCAGATGAAAAGTCAGTTGTCTGTCTCCCAGACAAATAACAAAACAAGAAAATGATGAATTTAGAAGCAGATTTGGGGAACCCCATAAGTGTGACAGGCAGGACGTTAGGCAATCTTGCCTGAGCCCCGGCATTACCACGCTGTCTGTGGGGAGCCTTGGATGAGCCAAGTTACCTCTTGGTGCCTCACTTTCCTTACCTGTTCAGGTGGAAGTGTTAATGCTGTCTGCAGGTTATGGGGAGGGGGTAGGATTCCACAGCTAACCACTGGGAAAGGCTTTGTAAATGTGGGTAATGGCCCAGAAGGGAGGCATTTTAATATTCTGTGGTGACCCTGACCCTCAGGAAGGGTTCACCTCTTTGTTTAGCCTGGCCTGGGACTCCTGGCCTTTAGTCCGCCATTTTGGGTCTTTGGGCAGTGCTGGTCATGGCATCTTCCTGGGTAGCCTGTGGTCCAGGGCTTATGCCTTGGTGGAGGAGGCGCTCTCTGTGAGACCCCTGACCGGGGCAGTGTCATGCTGAAGTTCAGAGGGAAAACTGAGGAAAGCACAGTTTGCAGAGTGCCTTGTGGGGTTTCCACAGCAAGATGGTGACAGAACAGGACTTGAGCCCAGGCCCCGGGTTGTTTGTGCCCGTTTACTGCATGCCACAATGTGGGGCCTCACGTTCAAGCTCTCAGCGTGTGTTGACTCTGCCTTGCAGACGGAGAACTCAGACCTGTTCTACGCTGTGCCCTGGTCCTGTGGGACCTTGGGCTTCCTGGTGGCAGCTGAGATCCGCATCATCCCTGCCAAGAAGTTCGTCAAGCTGCGGTTTGAGCCAGTGCGAGGGCTGGAGACGATCTGCGACAAGTTCAAGCTTGAGTCCCAGCGGCAGGAGAACCACTTTGTGGAAGGGCTGCTCTACTCCCTGGATGAGGCTGTCATCATGACGGGGGTCATGACGGACGAGGTGGAGCCCAGCAAGGTAGGCCAGGGTGTCAGCTGCTGCAGATCAGGGCCTGGGAGGAGGAAGGCCTGGGTGGGCTGGGACTGAGCCCGTTGCCCCACCCTGACCCTGGCAGCCACCCGCCTCAAGGCTGCAACCTGGGTGGGTCAGCTCACCTGGGGTTCAGGCAATAGGCTCTATACTCCGAGCTGTCTTAGGCAGTGAGTGACAAATGCTTCCATTCCTCTGCCCCTACCACCTGGCAGGTATGTGTGTGTCTCCCGATAGACATAATCTTTAATCCTCACAGCAACCCCATTTTATAGATGAGGAAACCAAGCCTCCAAGAGATCATATAAACTTCCACAAGATGACAAAGCGAAGACCTGAGTAATTGATTTGATGCCTTGAAATCCAGAGGGCTACTCCGTCAACTTACACTATGTAATTTTTAATAGCACTTTTTTTTATGAGAGTTTTTAGATTTTTATTGTAAGAGACTTGTAAACAAGTAAAAGGCAAGAAAAGACTACCTGTAAACATGACCCAAAGCCAACTGCTGCTAACGTGTTTGGCATATTTATTTCCAGTCTTTTTCAGTGCATAGATTTTTTTTTTAAGTTTTTAAACTACAAAAGTAGCATAACAGTGTTAAAATATATAAAGAAAAAGTTAAAGTGTATCTCTTTACCCCCAGACACACAACCACTTGTAGCAGTTCTTCAGGGCTGTGTGTGTGTGTGTGTGTGTGTATACACACACCCTCATTTCATTCCATAGGATCCCACTGTGGCATGTAAATATTTGACCTAACTCATTGCTTACTGATGAGCATTTATATTGCTTAACATGTTATGCCCTGACAACTAAGATTGCAATGAAGATTCTCTTACATCTATCCTTGGCTTCTTGTACAAGTGTATCTGTAGGATTGAGTCCAAACAATGGAATTTCTGACCCCAGAGTTTGAGCATGTTAAATTGATAGCTAAGACAAAACGGCCCTCCAGAAAAGTGCTGTCCACTTCCACAGCAGTGTGTAAGAATACCTTTCTCCTCCATTCTTGCCAACACTGGATAGTATCGCTCTTTTTATTTTTGTCAATCTGATAGGGTGAAAAATAGTATCGTTTTATTTTGCCGTCCTCAAGTCACTTATGAGGTCGAACATCTCTTTGTGCAGTTTTTGCTTGTTTTCAGCTGTGATCACCTGTTCAAATTTGTTTTTTATGATCTAGTGTGATAAGCATTCCCCCATGTAGTTACATTGCCTTCAAAATGGTCATATTTAACATCTACAGAATGTTGCATTGAGTGAATGCCCTATTGTTTACTAAACCACTGCCCCATAATTGCAAATTTAAGTTGCTTCCAATTTTCTTACTATTTTAATTAATGTACAATAGCAATGAACATCTTTTATCTGTAATTTAAATAATATCTTAGAGTAGAATTAGTAGATAAAAAGTTAGGCACTCTTGGGCCGGCTGAGTGGCGCGTTGGTTAAGAGCTGGCTTGGGATGCCAGCTCTGAGCAGCAGGGCTCGGTTCGGATCCCACATGGGGGCCAGTGACACTGCCCTCTACAGCTAAGATGGTGAACAACAGCTCGACCTGGAACTGGGCTGCCGTGAGTCACCGGCGACGGCGTAGGCTGCAGCCCCTGCTGCAGTGGGCTGCCATTAGCTACCGTGTGTGGCTGGCAGTCAGCGTGAGCTGCCAAGAGCTGCCGTGAGTGGCCGTCCAGAGGCCGGCGACAGATCTGCCTCACCCGGGAAGAGTGCAATGATAATACCAACATGGGCCAGTGAAGCAACGTCCTCCACAACTAGACTGAAGAGCAAAACGACAGCAACTTGTCTGTTTCCCTTCCCCCAGTTATCCAGCACTGTTCCCCTCCCCCAATTCCCCAGTAAAATCTTAAAAAAAAAAAAAAAGTTAGGCACTCTTAAGGCATTTGATCAATACCTATATACTTAAAGCATTTTAAAATCGAAAGGGACTCAAAAATCATCTGGTACAATTCCCCTCTCATGGGGCCCAGAGGGAGATAGAGACTCCTCTGAGGACACACAGCTAGCACAGGGCAGATTTAAATTTGGGTCTCCAACTCCTTGTTCAGTGTTTCTTCCCCTTTATATCAGCTTCTAGAATTTAGCATCATCCACAAACTGATCAGGCACCGTTCCTTGTGGGAGATCTGGACCAGAAGTGGATGGAACTCCGGACACTGAGCCCAAGTTTCCTGACACTCCCAGGCCCTAGCTCTGCCTGACCTGGGCTGAGCCCAGTCAGCATATGTCACCTAGTCACCTGGCCAGGACATTTCATCCAGAGGTTTTCCAGCTTCTCTGAAGTGTTCCCTTAGGGGATGCCAGTGGTGATAAACTGTGGGAGGGGGCCAAGAGGAATCACCTCCCCCACTGTACCCACTCTTCTGTCATCTGTTTGATGTATTAGATGCCACCTAAGCTTCCAATTGGACAGAGGGGTTTGTACAGCGTTTTGTTTTGTTTTTTAATTTAATTGGGCAGCAGTGTGTTTTTCCAGGACCCATCAGCTCCAAGTCAAGTCATTGTTTCAATCTAGTTGTGGAGGGTGCAACTCAGTGGCCCATGTGGGGATCAAACCAGCAACCTTGGTGTTATGAGCACTGCGCTCTAACCACCTGAGCTAACCGCCACCCTTGTACAGCTTTTTAAATGTTTCAACACCGTGACCCTGATTTCCCAAGAAGACTGAGGCCTTACCCAGAGGCTTGTCTAGTGTCAGTGGCACAGGCTGGGCTCCCAGGCCATCTCCTTTTGCAAAGTGTCCCAATGAGCAAAACCGTGATGCCCAGTGGGAACAGGGCTGGGTGAGGAGCATGGTAGATACCATTAAGATGTGTGGACATTTTGTTTGAGAAGCATTTCTTCCAAATATTCCTTTTTGGCAGGCTGCTCAGGAATTTGTCCCTGGGTGCCAGGCACTGTGACAGGCCCTCTGTAGGCAGTGTCCAGTGGAAGGCTCATTGCGGCCCCAGGAGGAGGCAGCCCACCCCCCATTTTACAGGGGAGGCCCAGACAGCAAGTGGCTTCCTATCTAAGTGCCGGGGTTGGAACCGGAACTCACACGGCTGCCTGGCTACCCCATCAGTGTGCCCTGGGACAGGTAGAATGCCTGGGCTCTTGATCGTATCCTGGGCTTCTCTGGCACAAATGGTTCCTGATAAGTCAGCGAGTGCCAGGAGCGCCCGTCTCCAGGTACCTCCAAGTTTCAGTTACATTATGCAGGTGGTGCCACTGCCAGGTGTGTGGCCAGGCCTTACCTGGGGTTAGATCAGGTTGCTGTGTTTCTGTTGAGTTTCGGTCTCCTTTGCATTAGCAGGTAGAGGCCAGCGCACGGTGTCTTTTGCCCCGCCCAACACTGTCGTCGCCGAAACTGACTTGTATAAACAGGCTCTGTGACCCCAGTTTCCTGGCACATCATGGCCCTTGGTTTCGTCCCTGCAGAGTCGCTACCAGAAGAGTGGCCTGCACAAGAGGGTGACACCCAGATAAGCAACCACTCAAAGGGTTGTCTGGCTCCAGGGTAGAGAAGGTTGGCGTGGGGATGTGGGGGTGGAAGGCCAGTGGGTGTCAGGAACTGAATACTGTGGCCCTACTATGGGCAAGCACCATGCGTGGCTCTTTCTATGTTATCTTTTAGTCTTCCCAACCACTCCTGGGGGTAGTAATGTCTCCATTTTGCCTACACAGAAAATGAGGCTCAGAGAGGCTAAGTAACCTGCCCAGGGCCAGCTGAGTGTGTTATAAGTGGAGGAAGCAAATTTGCCAAGAGCATGCGTAGGATGGTCCCATTTTTATAAACCTGTGTGCGTGTGTGTACACAGAAAATAAAACCTAATGAATACACATCAGTTTTAGTAGGCTATGGGGGTGAGGGTGAGGCTACAGAGATGTCTCTCCAAGTCACATATTTCTGCAGTGTTTGAAGTTTTCATAGATGTACGTTGCTTTTAGAATCAGGAAAAAAATCAATAGGATTGTTGTTTTGTTTTGATAAAGCCCATATTCCAGAGCCCACCATCAGGGTGCTCTGCCCTCTGACCCTGGCCTTGTGGTGAAACATGGGGTGTATCCTTGCCCTGCCTCATGCCAGCCTGGTGGCCTCGGACGGTCTGCTCAACCTTGACGATGCTCATTCTCATCCGAGAAACAGGGACAGCCCCGCTGTGCGAGGTTGTGGAGAGAGAAAGAACGCAATGGTTAGGTGCCAGCGTCGCTGCCTGGAGCACAAGCGCTCAGCTCACGTTGTGATTATTCTCCTCCACCAGCTCCCCTAGGGCCGGCTCACTTCTGCCCTCTGCTCCTGGCTTGTCCTCCCTGATGGGCCCCTAATAACATTCTTCCTCACCTATGTGGCCTCCACTGTACTTCTTCCTAACCCAGCTGGGTGTGATCTCACCTGCCCCATAAAACTCGGTGCCTCTCCTGCCCCTTAGAGAGACTGGTCTGATGTGGGGCCTAAGCATCTGCAGTGTGTGTGTGTGTGTGTGTGTGTGAGATTTCTAATATCAAAAATCTCCTAAAAAGCATATATTTTTATTACCATTTTACAGTGAAGAAAAGGCTGAGAGTGACCTGCCCATGTCACACAACTAGTGTATGACCGGGCCAGAGTTTGGCCCCGGCCCCCCAACCCTGGAGCCTGTGCTCCTTTGGGGCTGCTGCCTTGCCTCTCTCTAAAAGCATCTGTTCAGAATTCATCTCACCGATGAGGAAATTGAGGCCCAGAGTAGCTGAGTCATCCCAGGGCACACAACCAGTGAAGTTCTGAACCATTTAGTACTGAAAACGACACCAGCTAAGTATAAGGTTTAGGCATTGGGGCCACAGGGCCCAGTGCCAGGGTAGGTTTACCTTGCGTTTCCTCCATTGATGGTGGTTGTCTGGGGGAGCACCGCACCCAGAGGATTGTAGGACTTAGTCCAGAGCAGCAGGGTAAGTGCCGGGGTTAATTAGTGCTGTTGACCATGGGACCAACTGAGGAGAGAGTTTGACCCATGCTTCGTGTTGGTGCCAATACCAACCTAGTGGGAGGGAGGGGGGAGGAATTCGCCTGCACAGAGCACTGCATTGTGGCAGACACCAGTAAACATCTGCACTTTGATTTTCTCATTGAGAAGAAACAGCAGACCGTGTCGGGGTCGCTAAGCCCTCTAGACTGTCAGGAACTAGCTGTTGGGCTGCGGGCACACCACTGAACGTCTTTGAGCTTTTGCAGTCTCTGCTAGAGAGCACCCGCTGTGCTTCACCTCACCAGGCTTTCAAGAGCCTCAAAGGCGATAATAGACATGAATGAGCTTTGAAAAGGCCAGGAGTGCTGAACAGAAGCCGGGTATCACTGTTACACCCTGATGGCATTTGGTGCTTGTCTGTGGGCTGACACAATGCTCTCTGTCATTTCAGCTGAATAGCATTGGCAGTTACTACAAGCCGTGGTTCTTCAAGCACGTGGAGAACTACCTGAAGACAAACCGAGGAGGCCTGGAGTACATCCCCTTGAGACACTACTACCACCGGCACACACGCAGCATCTTCTGGGAGCTCCAGGTGAGGCTCAGATTTCCCAGGAGTCCTGGCTCCTCCCAGTCGGCCGGGCAGGAAGCCAGGATGGGTAACATTGAGCCACACTGTCTCCCCCTCAGGGGAAAAGAGTGGCTTTGTCCTAGGGAACTGGAATGCCCTCTTACACAGCAACACAGCTGCTTCCTTCTGAGGGATTGCAGCATCTTCACTGAAAGCAGCAGGCTTTCAATGAGCAGCTGGGAATGTGGTGCTAGGCCAAGTGATTTGGGGAACACTGGCCTGTTCCATCCTTGAGGAACTGTAGCCTAGCCAAACAGACAGACTTTGGGCCACAAGAACAGGAAGAGGAAGTGGGTAGTCTAGTCCTGCCTAGGGCTGGGTGTGACCGGCAAGCCTGGCCTTGACAGGTAAGCAGGAATTTGCTGTTGTACTTCGAGGGATGGGGAGCAGTGACATTGTAAATAAAAACATCAGGGTAAGGCCTCTTAGGAGATGACTTCTAAGCAAAGACCTCAACATAGGATGGATGAGCCCTGCAGAATTCCAGGGGAGACTATTCTAGGCAAAGAAAGTACCAGAGCAGAGGTCCTCACATGGGCTGCATGGGTTATTGGGGGTTTTTGGGGGTTTTTCTCTTTTTTTTAATTGAAATGAAATCATACAACATAAAATTATCCATTTTAAAGTATAAAATTCATTGGCATTTGGTACATTCATAATATGGTGCCAGCATCACCTCTCTCTAGTTCTAAAACATTTTCAGCACCCCAAAAAGAAATCCTGAAGCCATGAAGCAGTCGCTCCCCAGTGCCCCTTTCCCTAGCTTCTGGCAACTATCAGTCTGTTCTGTCTCTATGGATTTACCTATTTGAGACATTTCACATAAATGGAATCATAAAATACGAAACCTTTTGTATCTGGCTTCTTTCACTAAGCATGTTTTCAAGGTTTATCCGTATTGTAACATTCTCTTTCAGGGTACTCATTCCTTTTTTTTTTAAAGATTTTATTGGGGAATCAGGGGAAGGAGAACAGACAAGTTGCTGTTCTTTTGTTCTTCAGTCTAGTTGTGGAGGATGTCGCTTCACTGGCCCAAGCTGGCACCATCATTGCGCTCTTCCTGGGTTAGGTAGATCAGTCGCCGGCTTCTGGACGGCCGCTCACGGCGGCTGCTGGCCGCTCACGCTGGCTGCCGGCTACACACTGTAGCTTATGGCAGCCCACTGCAGCAGGGGACTGCGGCCCACGCCGTTGCCAGTGACCCACGGCAGTCCAGCTCCAGGTCGAGCTGTTGTTCAGCATCTTAGCTGTGGAGGGCAGTGTCACTGGCCCGCATATGTGGGATCCAAACTGGGGCCCTCTGGCATCCAAGCCAGTTCTTAACCATCGCGCCACTCGGCCGGCCCCTCATTCCCATTTATTACCGAATAATACTCCATTGTAAACACCATGTTTTATTTATCCATTTATCTGTGGTTGGACATTTGGATTGTTTTCACCTATGGCATCATGAATAATGCTGCTATAAACATTTATATACAGGTATTTGTTTGAGTACTAGTTTTCAATTCTTTGGGGTGTATGCCTATGAGTGGAATTGCTGGGTCATATGGTAACTCTGTATCTAACTTATTAAGGAACTGCCACACTTTTTCCCACAGTGGCTGAGCCATTTTACACTCCCAACAGCACTGTTCCAGTGTCTCTACATTCTTGCCAACACTTGTTATCTTCTGGGTTTTGATTATAGCCATCCTAGTGTGGGTGAAGTGGAATCTCATTGTAATTTTGATTTGCATTTTCCTAATGACTAAGGATGTCGAGCATCCTTTACATGCTTGTTTGCCATTTGCATAGTTTTTGGAAAAGTGTCTATTCAGATCCTTTGCCCATTTTTTAATTGGACTATTTGTCTGTGTTGAGTTGTGAGAGTTTATATATTCTGAATACTAGACCCTTATCAGATATACGACTTACAAGAACTTTGTCCTATTGTGCAGGTTGTCTTCACTTTCTTGATAATATCATTTGATGCCACAAAAGATTTTAGTTTTGATGAAATCCAGTGTATCTATATTTTTGTTACTTGTGCTTTTAGTGTCATATCTAGGAATCCATTGCTAAATCCAAGGTCATGAAGATTTATCCCTATATTTTCTTCTAAGAGCTTTATGGGTTTAGCACTTATATTTAGGTTGTTGATTTAAGGTTTTTTATATGGTATGAGGTCGGGGTCCAACCCTATTCATAGTTTCCAGTTGTCACAGTGGTTCCATGTTTTTGAAAAACAGCAAGAAGTCCCCTGAGCTAGAACCGTGGTGGGGAATGAGGTCACACAGCAGCCAGAGCCTAGATCATATGGGTCCTTGTAGGTCAAGGAAGAATTTCATATTTTACTTTAAGTATGATAGGAAATTGGCAGAGGGCTTTTTACAAAAAAATGACATGACCTGATTTTTGTTTTAAAAGAATAACTTTGACAGACAGATGGAGAATAGATGGGGGTGCAAGAGTGGAAGAGTAGAAGAAAGAAGATTTCTGTTGTCTAGGATGGTAGCAGATCTGTGAGACACTGAAGGTTGAATCAACCAACCTTTGAGACAAATTGGCCATTGGTGTGATTCCTAGCCTAGGGGCCCAAGCAACTGAGTGACTGGAAGTGCATACTGACTGTCATGGGCAACATGGGGGAAAGGTCTGGGAAGGGAAATCGAAGTTTGGTCTGGGCCATGTCAGTTTGAGATGCCTCTCAGGCATCTAGGTAGGATATCTAGTGGGCAGCTGTCTCCATGTGTCAGGGCTTCAGGGCAGACGTGAGGTTGCACATATCAGTGGGAGCATGATCAACAGCATTCTAGGTGATCATTCCATTCCTGTCATACCTGGGCCAGGCCTGGCTGGTCCAATCCTTTACTCACCAAGCTCGGTCAATCAGCAATATTTGGGGTCAGGGAATACAGTACAAAAAGCAGGAAAAAAAAAGTGCCATCAAAGAGACTAAATTACAATCTTTTTTTCTTTCTTCTGTGGTCTCTCTCTTATCAAAAATATTGGCTATTTAATATTATTCTAAGTAAAGAAAATTAAAAGTTTAAGTTATTAGCACGAGTTTTACTGTTCATCTTTTAAATACAATATAAGAGCATTTAACTCTCCATGCATATGTATTTCATTCTTAAAGGACCAGTGGCAATACTGCACAAAATTAACTCAACTGTTTTTATTTCCCTTCTTGATAACATTCACATTCTACCAACACGCCACCTTGGCTACTGGTGAGGAGGGAAGGACTGAAAAGAAAAGAGACTCCGGATAACCCTGTCTTTCCCTTCCTTTTGAAGTCTTCATTTTCGGCAGTATAAGTAGTTGGCTAATACAGGGAAACACTGTCAGAAGGGTACTTAGGTCCTTGGTTGCTCGTGTTTCTTAGAATGTCATTGTCACAGGGCCTGCTTCTAGAGTTTGGGGTCCTGGCTCAGGCTGGGCCCATTGGACCTGTGGTGGGGCCCTGCAGCCCAGCAGAGCAGAGGTGGCCAGTAGCAGGCTGGACACAGATAAAGGCGAAGGGCAGCTGAAAAGCAGGGGGCCAAGGAGAGAAGAGGCCACAATGAGGGACCCTGGAGTAACTGACCTTAGTGTGCTCGTGGGACAGGACCAGGAATGAAGCCAGGGACACAGGACCTGGGGTCACTCCAAAGCAGAAGGATGAATATGAGGTAGACAGAGGCAAGAAAGGAGACACTGTTTAAAGTTGAACTTTTTGAGGTTGAGACTTAAGAAAAGGAGTGGTTCTAGCTGATAACTTTTTCTAACAATGGACAATTTTAGGGGAACAAATGTAGATGGCTTTTAACCCTCCATTGGGTGCAACTGATCTCACAGATTCATTGCACACAAAGGTGCCGCTATGAAGTACAGCTTTACTGTACTAAGTCACAAACACGACTGGCAGTGGGTTACAGTAGAGGGGGAAGATACGGAAGCGGTGAGTCATGATACTGACATTAACTGTTAGATAGTTGAAAATTTGTGTGCAGTGAATCTGTGAGATCAGTGGCGCCCAGCGGAGGGTTAAATAGAAGAAAGGTGATGCAGTTTCACTCAGCTTTAAAGAAGGGCAAAACAAAACTACAGGAGACTCATTTTCTACCTATCAGAATGACAGAGATGCAAAAGTTGGATAACACGCGGTGCTGGCCAGGGTGTGGGGAAACGGCGATCTCCTACCTTGCCTGGGAGAGTATAAAGTGGTACAAGCTCTTAAAATAGCATCCATTAAAATTTCACACACTGTCTGAACCAGAATTTTCCACATCTAGGAATTTATCTTACAGATAAACGTACGTGTAAATGGGCAGAGACATACGCACAAAGGATCCTCGTTGGAATAGCCAGGAAATAATCAAAATGCCTATCAGTACAGAACTGACTAAATAAATTAGGCTAAATCCATACAGCAGAGCAGAGGTTAGTAAACATTCTCTGTAAAGAGCCAGGTAGTCATTGAAAGCCTTGTGAACCATGAGGCCTCTCTAGGAGCAGCTCTGCCCTTATAGCCTGAAAGCAGCCATAGACAGTATGTAAATGAACAGGCCTGGATGTTTTCCAGTAAAGCTTTTTTTACAAAACCAAAGGGTGGGCCAGATTTGTCCCAGGAGCCATAGTTCGTGGGCCCCTGCAGTACACTGTTAGGCACCCACGACCAAGAAGGCGGTAGCGCTCCGGGTGCTGATGCACAGGATGCAGTGATAAGCCAGATGCCGTCATATGCCACTGTTTTGTGAGTTGTTTTTGTAAAGCCCGTATGCTCGTCTACATCAAATGTCTCTAGAAGACACACAGTTCCTAACAGTGGTTGCCTTTGGAGAAGGGAAAGCAGGAGCAGGGATGCGAAGGGAAGCTTAACCTTTGGACTGTTGGGATTTCTGCTATGGGCATGTGTGGCTTTTCCAAAACCAGCCAAGGAAACAATAAAAGCCACAGTGTGTATTGCACTCCTGTTGTATACCCCGGCATTGATATAGGTGCTAGAATCTAACAGAGGAGAGCAGACAGGCCCCTCCCTCATAGGAGTGGGCGGGTGATCAGAGAGGTGATTTCAAGGGAGTGGAGGGGAAGTCACTCAGCCCCAAAGCTTAGCATGGCGGCTTCTGTGGGAGCTGCCCCTGATCCCTCGTCTGATGTGGACCCCGTATCTCTTCGTCCCAGCTTTTCCCATGCTGTACTGTAGTCCTGTGGCCTGTCTCTTGCACACCTGAGGACAGACCATGTCTCAGTTATCTTGGGAGTCTCAGGGGCCAGCTTAGAACCTGGTACCTGACTTCATGGGCACCTCGTAATTGTCTAATGAATGAAGGAAGGTCCTTGGCATCAAGGGCCCAGGAACTGTGAGAATGGAGTGTCAATGGACACTGGTGACCCTCAGGAAGACAGCAGACTTGGAGCGGGGAGGAAGATTGTGCAGGGGGGCCGCACCTCAGTCTGATTGAGCAAGGGGGCCTCTCCACAGTCTGATGGGGGGTGGGGGTGGGCAGGATGGCCAGCTGGTGGGAGCCATAGAGGAGCAGGTGGGGAGGAGAGGGTGTCTTTGGAAAGCGGCCGTGCTGAGTGAGGGGGCCCCTCCCTCGTGGTGATTTGAGGAATGGATGAGAAAGAACAGCCTCTACTTGGGAGGGTTTCCAGGGAGACCGAGCTTGGGTAGGCAGGCGGGGTGGCACTGTGAGGGCCACGAGAACAAGGAAAGGAAGTGACTAGTTCTGCCTAGGGTTGGAGGTAGCCATCAAGCTTGGCCTTGAAAGGTGGTTTGCTGTTGTGCGTGGAGGGATGGAGAGCGGTAACATTATAAAGGGGAGGCGGGGGATCAGAGAAGGCCTCTGAGGAGATGCTGCAAACCAGTGTGCTCACTGCTGAACCTGGGCCAGGCTTTGCCCACCCCAGTGAGAGCTGTCCCTGGCTGTGTGACCTTAGGAAAATCACTTAAGCTTTCTGAGTATCCCTCGTCTCATTCAACAGCCTTTATTTCTCAGACATTTGTGGATGCCTGTTTTATGCCAGCCACTCTGACCTCAACAACTGGAACCACAGTTATAGGTGCCTTATTATTTCGCTCCAGGCACTGGGCTGAGTGCCTTCTGTTTGGTGTGTCATTATTCTCATTAGTCCCATTTTACAAATAAAGAAACTGAGCTCAGAGAGGTTATGTAACGAGCCCAAGGTCCTCACAGCTGGTGAGTGCCAGAGTTGAGAATCAAACCCAGATCCAACTGGGTGCATCCTGGGTGCTACCACGCCCTTCCCAATAGGAGGAGTGGACCCGGTCATACATGTCGGGCAACGAACAAGAACCTGGCCACTGGCATACGGGGACACTCAGTCCTCACTGGTTCCATCTCTCCATCCCCAACCTTACTTTGTCTCTCAGGATATCATCCCCTTTGGCAACAACCCCATCTTCCGCTACCTCTTTGGGTGGATGGTGCCTCCCAAGATCTCCCTCCTGAAGCTGACCCAGGGCGAGACCCTGCGCAAGCTGTACGAGCAGCACCACGTCGTGCAGGACATGCTGGTGCCCATGAAGTGCATGGTGCAGGCCCTGCACACCTTCCACAACGACATCCACGTGAGCAGGGCCGGGCGGGGCGAGCTGAGAGCCATCCCATGGAGGCCACAGTCTTCTCCCCGAAACCGTGTCACTGACCTTGGGCACACCTGCCCTACGGGCCTCAGTTTTTCCAACTGCAAAATGGGCCTGCTCGGAATGGCCCTGGGAGTAGAGAAGTCGTAGGCCCTGGTGATGAGCACTCCCGTGAACTGCTCAGCTTGTGCCCTCTAGTATAGTGGAGTTGGGGGTAGGGGTGAAGCTGTGAGCAGCCAGAGGAGGGGCCCCCTGGAGAGTGCTGCAAAACCTATCTTTAGCCTCCCTTTGGGTAGGTGTGGGGTGGGCCAGCCTGTCACCTGTTGGAGAAAAGTACCAACACCCCGCTCCCTGGTCCACCCAGGTCTACCCCATCTGGCTGTGCCCATTCATCCTACCCAGCCAGCCGGGCCTGGTGCACCCCAAGGGAGACGAGACAGAGCTCTACGTGGATATTGGAGCTTATGGGGAGCCGCGCATAAAGCACTTCGAAGCCAGGTCCTGCATGAGGCAGTTGGAGAAGTTCGTCCGAAGCGTGCACGGGTGAGTGGCCCTAAGTGTGGCGAGTTCTCTCTGAACATCAGCCCCAGGGGACAGCGGCAGGAGGGTGCAGGGAAGGGCGAAGGTGGCCGGCTTCGGAATCAGACCAGCCGGTCACTTCAGGGCTCTCGCTAGGGCAGCCTCTGCCTCGGGAGGTACCTTGTGAAAGGTAAGGAGGTGGGTTGCAGGGTTTCTTTCCCTCTTGTTTTGGCATCCCTCTCCTCCCATCAGCCCAGCTGCATCTCCCCAGCTGCTCAAGCTGGGAACCCAGGAATCATCTCCCCCCAGGGCAGGTGATGGGATGGTTTTCCAAAGGTTCCGGGGCGCTGCTCCAGGTGAAGAGCAGAGCTAAGGAGGGAGGGATTCGTGACTGTGAAAGCCACACGGAGGCCTGGGTCAGCGGTGCTCAGAAAACAGCCTGGAGCCAACCACTGACCTACATAACACAGACAAATCTCAGAATAATTATGCTGATTGAAAGAAGCCAAGAAAAAGAAGTAGGGATGTTTCCGTGTATATAAAATTCCAGAATCCAGGGTGACGGCAGGTCCGCCTGGGATGGTGGAGGGCGATAACACGGTGGTTAAGGAAAGTCGGGGAGGAGGGGGTGCTTACGGTCATTATCTGGACTGAGGTGATGCATTCTAGGCTGTCTACATAAGTCAAACTTAGCAAGTTGTACACTCTCAATATGTGCCGTTTATTGAACATCAGTTATAAAAAGAAAAGAAAGCAGCCAGCGGCCCCGCCGAGGCAGCAGTGTGTGGTGCGCTGAGCACAGGGGAGAAGCCGGCTGTTCCAGTTCTTCTGACTCTGCCTCCACTGACAGATCACTTAATACCCTGAGCCTCAATTTCCCATCTGCAAAGTGGGGACAAGAATTCCCGCATCTCCCTTTACCACCAGATGATTAGGAGGATGAAACAAGAGAAATCTCCCAAAAGCACTTCCTACACTGCAAAGCGTGCTACGCATAAGGGACGGTCGGGGTTCTCATGCGTTTCCTTCCCCTTCCCCTCCCTGCCCCACCGACATCGCCTCCCCACGTCCTCACCCCCCCATCTCTGTTCTTCAGGTTCCAGATGCTGTACGCTGACTGCTACATGAACCGCGAGGAGTTCTGGGAGATGTTTGATGGCTCCCTGTACCACAAGCTGCGGGAGCAGCTCGGCTGCCAGGATGCCTTCCCCGAGGTGTACGACAAGATCTGCAAGGCTGCCAGGCACTGAGCAGAAGCCTACCCACAAAGAAACAGATGTGTGGGTAGACCCGGTCCCCAGGGCCAAGAGGCATCTTCCCTTCACTCAAGTTTGGCTGCTCTCCCAGATCCATACTTTCAGAAAGAAACCCCTCCGGAAGTCCCATGCAGACAGCCCTGACAGCCTGCTCCCAGCTTCCAGGGGCTGCCCATGGAGTGGGAAGCACCTGGGATCTGGAGTCAGACAAACCTGAGTCCAGTTCCCAGTTCAACCACTCATTAGCTGTGTGACTCTGGGTGAGTCACTTAACCCCTCTGGACCTGCCTCTTCATCTGTTGACAGGGGTTAACAATATCTGCCTGCAGGCTGTGGTAGTTATTGCTACTTCCCATTCAGCATTGCATCTGCTTTGGATTCAGCGGTAGCGTCCCAGAGGCTCCACGTAAGGTCACCAGGGCACAGAATTGGCTGGAATTATGAAGGGATGCCCTGGAGTTGCACTGCCATTGCTTCAGTCAGCCAGAATTGCTCCTCACCAGGAGAAGGAAGGAAGGTTTCTCTCCATCCCTGTGGGGTCTTAGGAGGGCAATAGATGGGTGAGCAGGCCCCAGATGTGCTGTGCCAAAGCCAGGTCCGATCCCAAAGTTTTCTCTGCCATCGTTGGTGATGTCCTGCCCTATCCCTCCTTCACTCTCAGGCTTGCAGGCCCACCCCAGCCATCACCCAATCTGAGAGGACCATGTCCCTGGGAAAGACATTTTAAGGTTGAATCCTGTCCCAGCCTACCTCCCCAACCCCTGGGAGAATGAGTGGTTTCTGCTCTGAATTGGATGCAGAGGACCTGGTCTCATTCTTGGCTCTCCAACTTTCTATGCCTCTTGTCACCAGAACCCACTTAGTTGTGGTGGGGGTGTGTCCACACTGCCCCGCAGAATGGAGGGTGGAGTGGACCACACCAAGCAGGAAAAGAGTCTGCCGTTGTTAGGTTTCATCAGGATTCTCAACCACGGGGCTGAAAGAAGAGAGCATCAACTTGATTTCTCTCACCACTCATCCTGTTTTCTCTCCCCCTGCCCCCAGCTGTAGTTAATTTCAGTGCCTTACAAATACTCTAAGCTCAGAGAAAAGTTAGTTCCATTTCCGTTCCAGAGGGAAGGGAACCTCTCTAGGTCCTTCCCCACCTAGTAAAGCTTGGTTGTTCATGCAACTCCATCTTAAGATCTGCTCAGCCTCAGCTAAAAACTGAGAACCTGAGAAGGAATTGTGTCATGTAAGGGAAACGAATGAAGTGAGCTGTGCCAGGCAGTGACACTCTGAGAGAGAACACACGTACTGCCCCAGGAGACCTGGGTTTAGTCCCTGCTCTGTTGTTAATGGGCTCTGCAACTGTGGACACGTCATTTGTTCCTCTAGTGTTTGTTCATCTATCACATCTACAGACAAGACCTCCCTGGGGCCCTTCTGCTATAGTTCATGGCTGTCTTAGACCCCCGTGGTTGTAAAACCCATGGAAAGCCTTGTTTGTGTGAAGTCAGAGGAAAAATAAATGATCCAAGTGGACACTTGGGGTGGTCTGTCATTTAAGGGCCTTCAGCCCAAGGCCAGCTCTTCTCTCATTTTCAGAAAGGCACATGTCGACTTGCAGGAATTGTCACTTTTGTCCCCTGCAGGTTGCCAGAATCCTCAGTCATGCTTTGATTTGACAGATGCTCACTCACCCCACCCAGGGCTTAGCACACTGCAGAGTATGTTAGCGTGGTCCTATGAGTACTGGGCACATTCATGGCATTCAGAAGGCAAGAGAACCCCCTTACCCATTTGGCCTCTGGAGGGGGTATAGGAAAAAAAATAAGAAACTTCGTTTTGTAGCTTGTATGCAAAGCACGTGCAGTCTGGCATTAGCTCTCATAGTGGGCCCCTGTGCTTCCTGCTCGGGGTTAAACTAATGATCCTACTAGCTGTAGAGGAATGGGTTAACCCAACAGACAAGGCTCCATCATTTCACCAGTGGGACCTCCATCCCTAAGCCACTGAGAGAGGCACTATTGTCCTTAGTCTTACAAACCAAAATCCTGTCCTTCACAGACACCCGGAAGCTGGGGCTCGGAAGGGAAGGCCCTGACATTGCACAACCTCAGGTTAATGTTTTGCTCCAGTAATATCTTGCCTGGAAACTGGCTATCTTCCAAGCATGGTGAGCCGAGTTACCAGCTTTTTCTAGTAGCCAGTCCTGCCACTGTCCATCCGAGTGGTGGTTCCAAATGGAGTTGAACTGCGCACTGGGGGGGCAGTGTGTATGGAAAGTAGAACACGCCTCCCCCCTCCAGGTCCTCAAGTTTCTTGGCTGCATGAAGGTTTTCTGTAAAATTAATTATAGCCAGTTTCTCTGGCTGAAAGGATGCACAATTTAATTGGAGATTACTAAAAGGGAAGGGAGGAGGTGGGAATGGGTAGGTTGTGTGATTTTTTTTTTTTCCTTGATCACGGGGACCGAGAAGAAAGGCATGTGTCTCCCCCAGCTGGATATTACAGCCACAGGCGCTGTGCCTAATGTCCAGAACACTTCGTGTCCCTGTGGATGTGTGGCTGCTGCTTCTGTAAAAATAAAAATGTGACCTGGAAAGTAGCCTTTGGGTTTTGTTTTTGTTTTTGTTTTTGTTTTGCTCTGAGAACCACAATGTGGAGTCAGAGCTGGCTTAAATGCAGGCTCTGCCGTTCACCAGGTCATTTTCCCTTGGAACCTGCACCCTTGAACAAGGGCTGAAAGACAACATAGGGGAAGTGCCAAGTTTATGAGGGCAGTGGAGCCATGGGTGATTTTCTTCTCCATTTTTGAGTTTCTATCATTGTCACAGTGATCTGGCGTCGGTGTTAATAGGATCCCCCACCTACTAGGTGGAGAACAGACTGCAGAGGAAAGGGTGCTAGCCAGGAGACCAGTGAGAAGAGTCCAGGTGAGAGACGACCGTAAGGCTGGGCTTTTTAAGCTGCCAGACATGGTTGTCAGGAGTGCTGGGCTAAAGTCCTGGCTTTGTCACCAGGTTGTGACCTAACATTTTGGCAAGTTAGGTAACCCCGTTAAGACTATTTCCTCATCTACAAATTGGTGGCGACCATTACCTATCCACTGAACTCCATTCCTCCCTTCTTGGAGCACACTGCTGACTACATTTCCCAGCTTCCCTTGCAGTCAAGTGTGTCCTTCCGTTAGAGTTCTCTAGTAGAGTGTAAACCGAAGTGATAAAATGTGAGGTTCTCGTGGCTCTTTCCCTCCTATTAGCTGGATGCAAATGACAACCAGGCCATAGGCTGTGGCGAAGTCACAAGTTGTAAGGAGCCTGGATCCCTGAGTCTCTATACAGAGAACTGTCCACGAATCTGAAGACTGCCCTGGTTTGTTATGGGACCAAGAAATACAACTTTTACTGTAGTCAAGTCACTACATATTTGGGACTATTTGTTAGAGCAGTTTAGCTCACCACCCTAGTTATTAGAGAGTTGTCAGGCTTAAATGAGCAGAGATAAGAGTTGAGTTTAGTGCAATCAAGTTTTATGCAAATGCATAGATAATGATGATGGACATAGCCCTAAAATGTGTATGTGTATGTTCCATCCTAAAGTTACGTGAAGGAACCCTTTAGAAAGTTCCTTTTCCAGTTCAGTTTCACAAATCTGGATTTTGTGACTTATCTTTCAAGGAAGAGAAATCTATAATGTTCTTGAAAACAGATTTTGTAGTTTAAGCCTTCAGTCCCACCTTCCATTTGAATTGCACACAACATGCAATATCTTATTTAATCCTCACAGTCCTGTCAAAACCAGGTCAGTTATCTCCATTTTACAAATAAGGAAAGAGAAGCTCAAGAAAAGTCGGGTGGTTTGAAAGCCACGGTGATGCTATTAATGAGTTAAACAAGGATGCAGACTCATCTAGTCGTACACCACCAAAGTGCTCCAACCGAGACAGTAGCTTCAGATCTAGAAACAGTCAAATGAAGGTTCTCTCAGAGAACCTTCCACTCCATTATAGTCGGTGGCTGTCCCTTCTCAGCATACATGACTTTTGTAACACAGGGACCACTGGTACCTCATGGCAAAGTATTTAAAAGAACTGCCTAATTTAAAGTTATTATACAGGCTTCTCTTACAAAAAACTCTTTTTAAAAAGTTTTATTGCAAATATTTTTAAACTTTTTATTTTGAATTAATTTTAGAGTTACAGAAAAGTTGCAATGAGAGCACAGATTTCCCATATCCCCCTCCCCCAGCTTCCTCTAACATGAACATCTACAAAACCATAGTAAAATGGTCAAAACCAAGACATTAACATTGGCCTAATGTTATTCACTAAACCACAGCCCTTATTTGAATTTCACCAATTTTAACACTAATTTTCCTTTTCCTTCCAGAATCCTATTAAGGATCCTACATTGCATTTAGTTGTTATTTCTCCTTAGTTTCTTCCAAACTGTAACAATTTATTGAGGTATAATTAACATATAATAAACGGCACATATTTTAAGTGTGCAGTTTGCTTAGTCTTGACATATGTATGGATAAACTACAGTTGTTTATTCATTCACCTGTTGATGAATATTTGGGTTGTTTCCAGTTTGGGGCTGGGAACATTTCTGGACAGTCTTTGTATGGACATGTGCTTTCCTTTCTCGGGTAATTACCCAGGTGAGGAATGGCTGGATCATATGGTAAGTGTATGGTTAACTTTTTAAACTGCCAAAGTGTTTCCCAAAGGGGTTGTACCATTTTACATTTCCACCTGCAGCGTAGAAGAGTTCCAGTAGCTCCACTTCCTCACCAACACTGGGCATGGTCAGTCTTTTTACTTGTAGCCATCCTACTAGGAAGGGAGTGATATCTCATTGTGGTTTTAATTTTCATTTCCTTGGTAACTGATGTATGCATTCTGGATATAAGCCCTTTATGAGATATGATTTGTAAATATTTTCCTGGCTTTCCATTCTCTTAATAGTGTCTTTAAAAGAACAAAATTGCTTCATTTTAATTAAATCCAATTTAACAACTTGTTCAAATAGTTAAAGCATTTGACTAAATAGTTAAATTATTATGTAAGAAATATTTGCCTGATACAAAGTCCAAATATTGTCTCTTGTGTTTTCTAAAAGTTTTGTAATTTAGATTTTACATTTAGGTCTATGATCTATTTTGAGTTAATTTTTGTATATGATGCGAGTATGATCATAGTTCTTTTTTTTGTTTGTTTGCATATTGATATCCAATAGTTCCAGCGCCGTTTATTGAAAGACTTTATTTTCCATTAGATTGTCTTTGCACCTTTGCTGAGAATCAGTTGCCCGTATATGTGTGTGTGTGTTTCTGGGTTCTCTATTCTGTTCCTTTAATCTACCTGACTATCTTGACACCAGTTCCACACTGTAGAATAAGGTAAAGCTTGGTTCTCCAGGTTTGTTCCTCTTTTTCAAATTTGTTTTAGCTGTTTTATGTCTTTTGTATTTCCCTATAAGTATTCGGATCAGTTTGTAAACTTTAAAAAAAATTGCTGGAATTTTGATTGGTATTGCTTTGAATCCATCAATCAATATTGAGTTGGGGAACTAACATCTTAACAATATTGAATCTTTGATTCATGAACATGGTATATGTCTCCCTTATTTGGTATTCTTTCAGCAGTATTTTGTCATTTTCAGTATACAGATCTTGTACATCTTTTTTCAAATTTATACCTAAGTACTTCAGTTTTGATATTATTAAAATGGCATGTTCAATTTTTTATTGCTTATTGATAGTATATAGAAATAGTTGATTTTGGTCTATTGATGTTATTTCCTGAAACCGTGCTAAACTGACTTATTAAGTCTAGTTCTAGTTTTGCTTATCGGCCTTTTTTGAAGATTCAGTATAATTTTTTACATAGATGACATGTCTGTGAATAAAGACAGTTTTATTTCTTCCCAAAGTCATTTTGACATGAGTAAGAAAGTAGCTGCTTTCTGTAGGACACTCAGGCTCTGAAGAAAGTATTTGAAGTTTTTGTTTTGTTTTGTTTTTTATCATTATGTGGGTCCTTTTGGCTGAGGCTGTGGTGTCCCAGTCTCTTTTTCTTTAGGGACAACACACTCCTGCCATCCCCCCTTCTCCACAGTCTCTCACTGACAAACAACAGAGAGGAAAGCAGCTCAGGACATCATGACCAAGGCCCACAAACACACCTTTGTGTTAGATGGTGTGCCCGTGAGGCCTGACTCTGGGTCAAAACTGCTTGTTCCCAATGGCTGCGCATTGCCTGGAGGTCAGCAGCCTCCTCGTAGCATGAGGCCCTGCTGACAATCCAGAAGCAGTCTGAGCTGGAGATGTAATACTCCTGGAGGGGACCTAGAGCTGCCTTATGACAAGTCACACTCTTCCACCTCTTTTTGGATTTTAATGAACAGGGAGTCAAACACTTTGTCTTTAGAATAGAAGGGGTTCCCAGAGTGTCAACCACATCCCACCCCTGTAGTCCATCTGCTGCCTGGCTCCCATGTTCATGTCACTGGTCCATTTGAATTCTTGGGATAATTGATCTCTCATATCAAAAGGTACCTGGCCCCAGCTGTCCCAGCAGGCATTGTGACCTCCAGGTAGATGTCTCCAGCAAAAGTGATCCCATCACATCGCCCCCTCTCCCAGGCATTCCCGTGTGTCCTTTCTCCAAGACACCCCATTCATTCCTGCTCCCACCCTCCCAATCCCCAGATTCATGTTCTGCCCTTTGGATCCTCCAGTCACCATAGCTGTCCTTCACATGCAGCTTTAAGGAGTAGGATCTGAATTGTAATCCACGGTTGGAGGGCACTTCCCCTTAGTAACAGGTGTGATCCTTTCCCTTTAAAAAGAGAGAAGAAGAGAAAATGGAAATGGTCCCTAGGAAGGATGTGAACCCCCCTAACCCCTGGAGGGGCACCCACAGGAGATGAACAGGTGCCTGTTGGTTGTGCTTCTCAAGAGATCCTACATTGGGTGAGAGGCCAAAATTGATGACCTCCAGAGCTTTTCCATCAAAACAGCCTGGTTCTAAGGAGATCCCCCTACTTTGCACCTAGTTCAGCTCATCAGAGCCTTCGCGTTGGTTTGTAAGAACTTCCAAGGGAAAAAGATATTTCCCCTATGCCTAGACCATTACCTGGTGCTTAGTAGGTGTTCTACAAATATCTGCCAAAGGAAGAAATGAGGTAGGAAGGGAAGGCTCACAGGGTAAAAGACCCTTTTACTATCCAGTGGGTCTCCACGCCTTCTGGCTCTTCACTCCTGCCTACTGCATGGCCCCTGGCCTGGCTCAGAGCCTCCGCTCTCACCTGAGCATTAAGATAGCCTCCTTGTTTCTCCCCATCCTACGCTCTCCCCACTCCCTACCCCAGACAGGCCACATCTTTAAAACTCAAGAGTTACTTCTCATTAAAACCCTTCTGAGTATCTGAGAGAAAATATTTGCAAAACACTTATCTGATAAAGAATGAATGCCTAGAATAAGGAACTCTCAAAACGTAATAGAAGAAAGCAACCCATCTTTTCAATGTGCAAAAGAAGAGATACGGAGGAAACACATGAAAAGATGCCCAACATCTTGTCTTTGGAGAAGTGCAAATTCAGGTCACAAGGAAATACACCTATTAGGATGGCTAAAATTAGAAAAACAAACCTGACAATACCAAATGCTAACAAGAATAAATATGAAACAATTAGACCCCATGTACATTGCTGGCGGGAATACAAAATAGTGCATCCATTTCAGAAAATAGGTCAGCAGCTTCTTATAAAGCAATACACACACTTACCAAATGACCAAATCCGACTTATAAGCACCAACTGTATACACAGCTCTGAAAAATGAAAAACAAAAGGCTACCTTTCCCGGAGGGAGTTAAATCCCAGGCTGCCAAGCTAGAAGCCCATAACCCTGAAGTTTGGCAGGAAGAAACAGGTGAGGCTTGGGGGGTGACGGGTGAGATGGATTAGCTGTAAGTGCACATTCTAGAAGGAGACTTCACAGCCCTCCCACACATGACCTCCTTTACCTGGGAGGGTGAAAAAGGGTGTCAGGCAACTGTCTTAATAATACATTCAAAGGATGAGAACGCATTGTATCCATGAAATGGAAGCATGATGTACTAAAAGGAACATTCAGGAAACAAAAAACAATAACTCTTAGAAATTAAAATATGAAACCAGAAATGAAAAAGTGAGTGAACGAGAACATTTCTGGTCACCTGAAAACAAACAGCAGCTCAGAAGCGCCCAGGGCAACCAACACAGGGCAGGTTTTTCAAAGAACCAATCAGTGAAAGAGTGTCTAAGGGACTCCTTCCCACCTATGACCTCCCTTCTGTGCCTTGTGGCACAGCCCTCCTGGCTGTGGGTCCAAGAGCTCAAGTGGGTCAGAGCCCCATGGACAATGCCAAACCAGAGCCCCAGGGGGAACCAGGCAGCAGCCTGACCATCAGACACCCACAGGGCCCGGCTGGCGGGCTTCCATTCGGTAGCATTCACACGCCTTAATTAAGCCTGACCCCGTCCCTGTAGGGTATAAATTATTCCCCTTTTACAGATGGGAAAAGTGAGGTCTGGAAGATAAAGAGTGCCTCTTGGCTGGAGATGGGTCTAAAAGGAGAACCCATAGTTTGTGTAGGGTGTGTCTCAAGAGATCTTGTCCCTTTTCTACTTTTTTCTTGATTACAAAAATAATATACGTTTATTTTGAAAACTTCAAACATTTCAGAAATAAAACAAGGTAAAATGAGTAAGCTCCCGGTAACCCTCAAGGTATAACCACGGTCAACAGCTTGGGGCCTCGTCCTCCCTCGTGTATTGTCTATGATACGGCAATGCATTGTTTAATGGGACCGTTATTCTTTTAATATGCATATGTATTTACACTTTCAGACGGAGTTTATAATAAATTTATCTGATTCCCCCTACCAACCCCTTTAGGGTTTGATATAAATGGCATGAAATATGTACATCAATGGGGAGAATTACTTTCCATCCACGAACATGGTACTTTCTCCAGTGACTCATTCTTCTTTAACATCTTAGTAAAGGTTCATATTTTTCTTCATTTATGCCTTAACTATATACCTTATTAAGTTTATCCCGATGCATTTTATCATTTGCGTGGCTAATAAGAGTGAGACAAGGGCCGGCTGAGTGGCTCAGTTGGTTAAGAGCTCGCTCAAGAGTTTGAGCTCTGAGCAACAGTGGTTCGAGTCAGCCCGAGCTGAGCAGCCGNAGCTCTGAGCAACAGTGGTTCGAGTCAGCCCGAGCTGAGCAGCCGTGAGCTGCCAACAGGTGGCGGGATGGCTCAGCTAAAAAAAAAAAAAAAGAGTGAGACACTTTTTTTTTATTTTTAAATTTATTTTTATATATTTTTTTAAAATTTAACTCTAGTGTTTCTTTAAGTAAACACACATGTCATTATACAGTTGTGATGATTTTGCTCTTCCTTGCCAATATTTATATTTCTTATTTATTTTTCTTATCGTACTGCCTTTGCCAGAACTTCCAGAACAATGTTGAGTAATGCCAGTGATACAAGCATCCCTGTCTTATTCTTGTCTTTGCAAGGAGTCTTTAGTATGTTACTGTCATAGTTAATGTTTTTGGCTTCCTCTTTCAAAACCCCCACCCTCCCTCTCAGGACTCAAATGCCTGTCTGTTTCTCTCCCATGTCTTTATCAAATCTCCATCTTTTAATTTTTATTTTATTTTATCAGGGAATAGTGTGTTTTTCCAGGACCCATCAGCTCCAAGTCAAGTAGTTGTTTCAATCTAGTTGTGGAGGGCACAACTCAGTGGCCCATGTGAGGATCGAACCGGCAACCTTGGTGTTATGAGCACTGTGCTCTAATCAACTGAGCTAACCAGCTGCCCCCTCAAATCTCCATCTTGATAGAAACTTTTCCTTGGATCTTTGACAACAGAGAGTTATTTAATCCTTGTAGTTTCTTTTCCCAGATGATGTGCATTTTAAGCCTCTGCAAATAACTATCCCTTTATAACTAATAAGACACAGAATTCTGCTAAGGCATAGCAGCTGCTAAAGGACTGGGAAGCTAGCACTTAACACATACCTACAAAACAGCAGACACAGCACAGAGCACATTTACAGGTCTAATCTCCTTACTCCTCAAAGCAGACTCTACAAGGTGGTTATTTTGTTTACACTCATTTTTTTCTGATGCAAGTCTGTATCCAAGTAACTTGTCCCAGGTCACACAGCTAAGTGGTAGATGCAGAATTCTAAGGCAGGTTACAAGGGAAATCCTATAATTCTCACAGGCCTGAGGGATGGATGTGGTAACAATGGTGAAAGCAGTTCAGACCCAAGGGGAGGCAAATGTTGAGGGTCCAATGGGAGTGGGGCGTCCTTCCCTTCCTGAGAGCCCTTACTGAGCAAACAGTATGTAGGATGAGGCTCTGCTGACAGGGTGGCTGAGGAGGGGTGGCCCTGCAGGCACGGGGGCATGGCACTCTTCCTGGCACTCCCCAAATGCTCACATGGGCACTGGTGTGTGGAATGGGCCCTGCTCTGTGAGGGAAGGACTGGATTCTAGTCCCAGCTATATCACTCACCAGCTGTGTGACCTTGGGCAACTTGCTCCCTTCTCTGGTCCCGGTTGAACACCTGTAAAAGGAGGCTAACCACCTTGTCTAGAAAGAAGAAAATGTTTTGGCACACCAAAAGTGTTCCATATGACTTTCAATTAAGCAAAGCAGATGAATACATGCATTCATCTCTAGTCTCTCCTACAGTCCACTGAAAGCACCATACACGAATTTTTTTAAAAAATAGATAAACAAGAAAGGGGACCAGGGTGTTAATATGTTTTTGGGAAATGGAACGTGCAGGGAGGCATTCGCAGAGCTGAGAGGGCCAAAGTGAGAGCTGCCCGCAGCAGGGAAGCCAATGAGAAGCTTGCCAGCTCCTGCCACAAACCCCAGAGAGGCCCAGGAATTGGAGGCAGCGGTATCTCAAAAACCAGGCACAAGATGGGTGGCTGAAAACAAGGAGAAGGTTAGACACACACGCACCCCACTCCTCACCCACCCAGCAGGAAACTGGAGGTTTAGTGTTCAGAGAGGCTCCAGAGATGGGAGGCAGGCAGCCAGGTGCCAGTGAGACTAGAAGGGGCAAGTGGAAGCCCATATGTGGGATGAGAACCCTAGCCTCCTTCCCCAGACACCAGCAACCACACCCACCCCTCCCCT